CTTCTCTTAAAACGTGCGATTTAGTGTTCAAATCGTTGCTTGATCAGTAAATTCAAGTGATTCCAAATGCAGACTGTTAAGTGGATAGAGATGGTGCAACTCGGGCCGGCTGCGACCGAAAGGTCTTCTACTTACGATGAGGAAAAGGTGAGCTTGTTAATCAGTGGTTTTACGTTTTCTGTCGCTTGTTTATTAGGTCATATGCTTCACTACTGAAATATTTATATAAAGTTCCTTTAATGCCGTATTATTATTTTTAGTCAACATTTTATTGTGTGTACCAGCACTAACACATTGGATTTTAACCTCATTAAATTCATCACTTTCTTTAGATAATCCAAGTTTAAATTGTCTTGTTTTATGATGCGAACAATGCTATATACGTAATATTCAGAGTTTATTTTTACAACTGAAGAAGTATGTAATAATTGTCATAAAATAAGTAGTATCCATTTATCGATAAAGTTCAAGTACGTTGTTAATTACAGATAACTTTGCCATTCATATCTTGAAATAGTTATCATGACGAGAATGTTAAGCTCTATTGACTCGGTTGACTCAGCTATTTCTTATTAAAAATAGTACAGTCTACGGTATCACTTACATAAAATCGCTCGCGAAAAGCGGAATTCTTATACAATCAATCATACGTTTGTCTGTCCATCTGTTATAAACGCACAGATGTGCAACATAACTAAACGGACTTTGAAATAAAAAATGAGAAATTGTAAACTGTACGTTGTGACAATGTTAAAAAAATGAGCTTGTTGTGAATTCTCTCAGATCGTATTTTTATTGAAGGTTGTCTTCAGAGAATAACGTATCATCTTTTTGCTTGGTGTACAATAATTAAATTTCAATATTGTTCTGTTCACATTTGAGCGTGTAATAATCTACCGTTAATCTTAATCAAAAACTATTTCTAACAGAATCCATAACTGTAAAGTAGCCTACGCAACGAAACGTTATATTTAATATAATTATGCACGAAAACAAAATTCCTATGAGTCTGAATTCTTGTCATATATGCACATAAAAAATAATATCGAATCTAGTATCGGGCTTATCTCCACGTGTATCTACTACATATAACTATAACCTGTTCTGTTTATTGTGACTGCTTGATAAGATTGTTTCACGATTTCTTGACAATATTTTTGTTTTTTTGCCCACAGACCACATTTTATTACACGTTACTAAAAAAATCCCTCTACTTACCTAAAGCAACAGAGGAAATTATAAAAAGTAAAAATCTTGTAACGTTGCAAGCACAAAATGCTCTCTGCTCTCTATTGTAATTACGGCGGATTTCACAGATGTGTTGCTAGTTGAGTTATGACGAGTATAATAATGTACTTGACTTTCTAGTTAATTCGGTTTCTCTTTATTAAACTCCAAATTGTTGAGACTTGTATGAAATAACTCGTAACGTTAAGTATATTTTGCTATAGACAAATCGTTTACATTCAATATTCGTTTTAAAAAATTAAAAATAATATCAATTTTAAAATTAGCCGCTTATATGGTTACATAACACGCTACATAACATGAGGACTATTTAGTAGTTTGTTTTAATTGTAAGTTACAGTTATATTGATTTCCAAAGTTAATTCATGCAATGATTTTCCTATAAATAAAGTGAGCGGCTTATTACCGTTGTGTATCTAATCACAAGGTCTAGGAACTGTTTGTAGATTCAGTAGAATCTGTTGCACTAGACAAGTGCAAGGATCAAACTGATCGTGCGATGCCATGTATAGAAACTGACTGGGTATTTTTTGTACGTAAGTCCCTACTTTATATTGCATTGCCTATGATTTACAGTGTGTCAAAGCATAATGCGATTTCACTTCGACCACTCTGTATACCACACCACAGGTAAAATATACGATATGACTTAGAATTATGTCCCCTATAAAGTTTTAAGAGAAAACGAATTATGTAATACATATTTTTTTTGGCTTCGAAGGAATTAGAAATGCAATAATACGTATATGTAGGTAAGTGTTGCATTTTGATTATTATATTTACAACAGACGTAAACTTCTATCCGATAATCCAATGAACCGTTGTAAAGATTAGATAAATAGCAAAACTTTTGGACATAAAAATACATTGAGACCGAGTTCTGTATAAAACTTATTATTTTTTGTTTCTTGCTTACTACTGTTTTTTATAAGTAGTACTGAAATAAGTTTGGTGATCGAAAAGTCGGGTATTCTGTGTGGTACCAGTTAGACCTTAAACGAAATTTAAATTAGTCGCGCCGTGGACTTTTATACTACATTTTAAATACGTTACTATTATGTATAGCTCTCAAAGAGTACCTACTTACTTTGAAAATTATCCTCACCATATATCTGTGTTTGCCCTTACTTTATTCCTTCTTGACATGTTTATAAATAAACAAACTAGAATAGGCCAAGTTATTACTTTCTTTGTAAAAGATATTATAATACCATCTTAGTACCTGCATGTGCAGTATAGTAGTAAAATAAATACAGTACAATCAATCTTGTCGTGCGCTCAATTTGAACCAAATACTGAAAACTGAACTGAAACCAAATATTTAACTGAATCAGCAACCAGAACACCTAAGTGCACTGCGTAAACTGTCCTTTGTAGGGTATATTTTGAAATCGTTTAAATGATATATTTAATGTATGTATATCATGTAAATATTAACCGATTTCCGTCCGATCATTCGTAATCATGGACCTGCTAATCCCATAAACCTAAAAATTTATACACTGAGATAAGAGCGATAAAATCGTAAATTACGCAATTTATTTTTGCCTAAAGGTGCTGACTGGACACTAGTTAACATAACACCGCGTCTATCGTCAGCACCCGGGGACTAATATTTAGAATATTTATGTGTAAATAAAGAGGCATGTCGCCTATTCGTTTATAACTTTTGATTAAATTTTGATTAAATAGAGAGCTGTCGTGCTAAAAAATTCATTGCCAGATTAACCTGTCGGGTGAAAATTCAGGATCACCAAAATGTTTCGCTTGATTCGAAGACTAGCTCGCGCAATTACAAGACAGTTGCGTAAGGTTGAAATGATAGTGTTCAATGCAACCATGCAGAGAAGGGGAACTATACACTCTATATGTGATAGGGGAACATTAGGACGTACGGATCGTAGGAGAGCCACCATACATTCCATACGCGAGGTGAGACTAGCAGCATCATTTTATATATTATATACTATCCAAGATATTATTAACATAATTTAAAACTCCATGGTTTGTTACCAACAAACACGTTATACTTATAGTTCATGTCAACACTTAGTTTAACACTCGAGAATGGTCTAACGATGACATAAATGTCATTAGCATCAACATCTTACTTTTGTTGTTTAATTAACATTGCAATGAAGCGATGCCCAATTATAAGTATTTAGTAAATTAGTGGTGAATAGACCAGTATCTTTAATTATAGATGATATCTTAATGTGTATTTAACAAAAAATTCGTCAACGATAAATAACAAGCAAGTACTTATATCTTAATCATTTCTAAAATGGTTCATTTTTGACTTTGACTCTTTTACATTACTAGAAATTAATGGTCCCTAGTTGCTCTGAACAATCTTTTTCCCTCTATTTAGTTTTTCTTTAGAGGATCTTGTTTAGAATAAAGATATTTAGGCACGACATGTTGAAAAGCACAACCTGTAGGCATATGAAGTACTAATTGGCCAAACCTAAAGTGTAGATGTTTCATTCGCTCGTTAAATTCAATAGATCTGTAGAACAACCAAGTATAGCGATTTTTTACACGCATTCTTGTCAGTCCATAAACCTTGTTTTAAATTTTAAAATATTTAGAATAAGTTACGTCATAGCAATAAGTTGTTTGTAGGAATTCTGGTGCGCTACAATGGTTTATTAGTATTGAGGAAGTTTTATTCTTTAAAAGCATTGTTCGAGACACTGAAGAGTGTTGGTTTGTAAACACTGGTGTGGAAAGAATTTTGAATTGCAAACAAATGACTATGCACAGTTAAATCAGCTTTTGCGAGAATTACAATGTGTTGCTTTTTTAACTTTGTAAAAAGGAGCAACAAAGTTTTTTATTTATTAGTATCCACACTTACTACTATCATTACAGGTATATCCTAATGCGGTAGTGTAATTATTACAAAAGTACTTGTTTTACATAACTTCTAAGTATTTATATTTAGATTCCTTTTGTAAATAGTGGGGATACCTGATTGTTTTTATTGCATTACTCTAATTTTAGTATAAATACTTGTTGAGTTTTTGTAATATATTAGCAATACCTGCAAGAACGGTTATCATGGTAGCTGAAGTAGATATAGAGTAGTGCACACTGCACGCTCTTTTTCTGTAAATGTTGAATGTGAACTGTAGATCGTGAATGTATCACCGCTAGTGCATCCTGCATTTTGTCGACAAATCCGAAAATATTTTTAGCATTTCCTTATTACTTGTATTTAATATTTAAATTTTTGGTGGTTACCGTTGCATGATAATAAAATAGGAAAACATAATTCGTGAGTTTTCATCTGTTTCATCACATTTCTTGTAAAAGGGCAACATTTAAGTATCATTTAGTAACTTCAAAAAAATAACTTCACAAGGTTTAGATCACTTCGAAATAAAAAAATACATACTCAAAAATTCCTTGCATTTCATTTAGCATGGTCTTTTAAAACATTTTTGTTAAATATTATTTGTAGTGAATGAATTAAAACACATTTCAATAGATGAGTCCCCGCAGAGCGACGTATACTAGCAGTGCTTAAAGTGTTAGTCCTTGTTATTACTACCTTACCTTATCAATATTGCACTGAGGCTTATCAATAATATACTAATTGAATATGCCACAAAGTTCAAAACTTGCGATGTGTAATACACCCGATAACAATTAATACTGCGGGGGCTTAAGATCTACTTTGACTTTTATTAATATGAAGGTAAAAAGAAAATATGTGTGACTAATTATTATATTTCTATGCAATACAGGTATTGTCGATGAGCGATGAGTTGCGGCGCGCGCTCTACTCATCGGGTGCCTCCATCGATATGGAGTTCTCTCCACCCGACCTCATCGGTACTTCCGAAATACTCACAATGGAACACAGGTAATTGTTTATATTAGTTTTTTAACGTCCTTGGCCGTCTGTTTGGCATAGGTCAATCCTGTGAAAAGGTTGTTTGATTTGACAGTTTCTTTGACAACCATTTGACGTGTGTTATTACAATCGTGTTAAGAATGGAAAGACATTGAAGATCTAGTTTAACTTCACTAAAACCATATCAAAGTGAGCTCAAGGGACTTATCACGGTTATACCTGCATAATTATAAAATAAGGTACAATGACTATCTTTTTATTTACTTGAACACTTTGATTAAATTGAACTTAACGTGCTCATACTTGGACCGGTGTAGCCAAAGTCTTATAAACTTATTAGTCCATTGTTTATTTCTATGATTATCGTAATCTTATTTATAGTTTTATTAATAACCTTTACAATATTATCAGTCGGCTCACTTGAAATATAAATATTATCTATATATATTATAATCCATAAAATATAATTACGTAATTCAAAGATTCTAATTGTACCGACATCAAAACACTCTCTCTGTGTGACTATGAAAAAGATTTGATGACCAAATTAGTCTTAAATTTTAAGTACCGTAGGTAAGTTGAATATGTGATGGTGATATTAAACTACTGTGCAATTTATTGTTTACAGAGAGAAGTTATGCGGGGTGTTACCGGCACGTGCCCAGGGCTATATGTGGTCGCTGACGTTCAGCACGAGCCAGCACGGCTTCTCGCTTGCTTCTATGTACCGCAAGATGCAACGCGTGGACAGTCCCGTTCTGCTCGTCATTCAAGACACTGATAATAATGTGAGTATTCTGTAATAACTGCAAAGCAGCAAGCTGTGGGCTTGAGTGCGACTCAGAACGATTTTTACGACATTTTTACACGTGTCTGAAAAAATATTTATCATTTATTTCTGGGGTTCACTTAGATCGCAGTTATGAGCCTAGATGTTCTTTGTGTCCAGTAATTGTATGTTTGGAATCTTTTTTGGCCACAGGCAGGAATTCAGTGCAGGATCAACCCAACAAAAAGATTAACTCGAAAATTAATATATGATTTGGTTATTCTTATTTGATTTCAATTGAAACTGTTTAATTAAAAATAGATAGATAGATGAAAAAAAAATTGCCACCACTTCATTGCATTGCACTGTTTGCATCTTTTATTGATATAGTAGTTCTAGTTAAACTTGTTGATATTGTATTTGTTGGACTTTGACTTATTGAAATCTAATATTACCTATACAAAATTCCCTTAAGTTAAAATTACACATTGCAGCCTCTAGTAAAGCATTTTTCAATTGTAGCATAATTATGATGCAACATATAAGCTGTGTAATCTTTGTCAGATTAAAATATTATGCCACGCTGACGGACTACGTTCGCGTTGTAAACGGAAAAAATTGTCGCTGTTATTTTCCACGCGATAGACTCAATACTTCGGCTTAGCGATCTCATGGGTGTGTTGCGTAACCTTAACGTAACCGTAACCTTACCTAACCTGTTTGATATTTGAATATAGATATTCGGTTGTATTTCATATTTAAAAAACCGATTTTGAAGTACTTTTCTAACCTAACAACGTACAAAACTATTGTGAGTATAGTTCAGTATTTAACTAAATATTTGATCTTGATTTCTATTATGTTTTGAATAGGGTACTTAGCTACCTTTTTATTCAAGTCTATGAATGAACTGATAAATAACTGAACTGTAAGTTTACACAAAAATAAATTTGAAATTTTTGGCATTTTCTTTTCAATTTTATAATTTATTGTACAATTATTATGAAAATATGCTAAATCTCACCATGTTGGTAAAAAACTAAATAGTTTTTTAAACTTTGTGGAATATAACGTTGGTCAATGTATTATTTTGTTTTTCTTTATTATAGGTATTCGGTGCGCTGACTTCTTGCACGTATCATCCCTCCGAACACTTTTACGGCACTGGAGAATCTCTTCTATTCTCGTTCCAACGAATTGAGGAACCTCGACGACCCTCGCAAACACCTATTGAAATCAAAGACAAAGACCTTAAAGACGAGGCTAAGAAAGATGACATAGAAGGTAAGTCTTGTTATTTTATGATATTTGATAAACGACGGGCCTGTTGGTGTAGTGGTTAGCAATCCTGACTGGGTGACTGGGTGGGTTCGATTACTCAGGACAAAAATGTTTTGTTATGAGCACGATGATTTGTTATGTGTCTGGGTTTAGTTTATCTGTAATATATCTTTAGAAATATTATATTGGCAGCTGCCTGGTTACCATAATACAGACTACCTAGCAATCGTTCTTAACATTTATAACTGTTGTTGTAATTTCCCCCTGTTGGTTACTAATCGCTTCAGATATCAATTCGTTTATTTGTTTTAACACCTTCAACTTGAATTACGAAACATCGTATTTTTGTTCGTCTTTGGTGCAGTGCAATATTAGTAGGAATCTTAGTTATAAGCTTTTTCCTTGAATTACAGGTCAGCAAGCTATAGTTAAAACTAAATTCAAGTATTGGGGATGGACCGGTGACAACATGTATTTTATTCGTGGAAGTAACGACAACATATCCATCGGCGCTGGCGAGTAAGTATCCCTTTATTAATTTCTAATAATAAGCATCATAAATCAGTTACCATAACTAGCAGACTGACCACCGCAACGACTAGGCTTAACATACTCGTCCTGAGTGATTATTTTTAACCTCTATCATCGAGATATTTTTCTAATACCTTCATGATTTATACTCAACTATATTTTTCATTATAGCGGAAAATTCGGGTTATGGCTAGATGGGGATCTGTACCTGGGTCGCACTCAGCGTTGCAAGACGTATGGTAACGATCCTCTGACGACTCGCGAGGACTTCATCGTTAAGATCATGGAGTGCTGGACGTTCATCTGAGCGAGCGGCGCAGCCACCTCGCCTCGTGCCCACGCATCGCCCTCGCCGGCCACTACTCTACTTTCAATCAAATAAGCTTTAGATTATCTTATGAAATTTGCTACGAAGATTTGACACTTTTACAAGTCAGTCTTTTCGACTTTAATACCGATGAGTCTGAAAACGATTTTGTACTCACATTGTGACTCGAAACGAAGCGGCGCGATCACAACCACCCGGCCGAATGAAGACAATATACACGTCTGCGCGCATTTCTAGTCAAATGTACTGAACCCTGACCAATGTTTTCATCCTCTCCGAATTTAGAGGCCTGTTCGGATACGAGTGCCGCCGCTCGGCCGCGGGCCTGCCCCGGCCCATAACTGAGCAAGTGCATTAATCCTAGTCAATTGTCATTTGTATGTAAGTTGAAAGTTAAAGAGACGGATAGAGCTCATAGCGGTGAACTCTAAGGTAGACGACGCATAGATTGTATCTAGCGCAGTGGGGCCGAGCCCTTGCGCCGACCTACGTGGTCCGGTAATTATTACGTGTCAATTCATAAAATTAATATTGTGCATTGTTGTTAAGGAAATTAAAGGCATATTTGTAACTATGAAATCTGTATGTTATGTAGAACTTTATATATTAACGAATCAAGCATTACCTTTGTGTCTAAACGCTAACTATTGGAGTGTAGTGTCGAGAACCATAATTCATTTCGTAAAACTGACCTTCTTTTGGTGACCTGTCTGGAGGTTGCTCGGTGATATTTGGCAATTTGGGCAGAACTGCAACTATTCTTGCCAATGTACCGAGAGGCACGACCCTGCTATTTGCACCCCGCAAAGGGTTCGGTGGGACATTGTCAGTATAAATTATTGTGTTATTTATCTGTTGTGTAGTAGGTTTTTGTATGCTATGTTGTCATGTCTGATTGTATTGAGTCATAATATTAAGTTAGTGAGCATATTTATGTTACACTTTTACTGTGATTTGATTATTATGGTTGCAGTATTTCACTTATTGGAGCGTTGTCACTGTCGTCAATCATACATAAATACATATGTGCTGATTAATTTAAAGATTTTCAGATATTTTAATTTGTGCCACGATATTTTTTATGATAACTTCGTCTACAAACAAAATATGTACCCACAATAATTGTCAATAAACTATACATTATTTTTGTGATGTGACGCTTCAGTACAGAGATAAGTAGCCAATAGAATATTATTAAATAAATAGTAAAAAATAATCTTATAGTTATCTTAGAACGCTTGATGAATGTAATCGTCATTGTGCTTAGTAATCGTTAGCATGATGTAACTCAGATGTATCTGGTCGTATAACATTATTTATTTGTCATGTGTAAGAGCATGCACTGCAGCTGCTACTTTACCACTATGGCCAGTACCATGGCGTGATGTTTCGTGTACTGTATATACAACATATTCCTATGTGAGATTAGAAAGAGATAATTTATATATATACATATATATCTAAAGATTTTTGCGAGAGGCCACATGATATACATCGATGGTAGAAAGTACAATTACCAAAATTGTCCCCTCTATAATAAATCAGTTGTTAATATGCGTGTGTCCTTTCATGCAAAATATTTTGACGTTGTTATTGTTTATGTACATCAGGATTGTAATAGATAACCTAGGTTTTAAAATTATATCGGCATAATTATTGTTATAAATTTATAATCATTAGACTTGTTGAGTAGCAGTGAGAATTATAATATTTATTTATTTTGCTATGGTTCCCAGCTTATGGTTGCTGTAGCTACATTACTTTATCAGTGATGATTTATTATGTAATTCTAAGTTGTTAAAATGTAAATCAAGCCATAATAATTGAGAATATATTCTTTTGAGAAAGATATTGTTTTATTGTTGCATACATTATAATAGTACATTGTAAAAATTGACTAAGAAAACATTAATCTCAATAACGATATCTATTTCGTTGTGGTCGATATCCTTGTCCTCTGTCATCAGAACTTCTGTTGTAATCATTATATCCTCTATCTCTGTTCCTATTGTTACTGTACCGCTCGTACGGATGATGTCGCCTGCTGTTACGATGGTCATTGCGCCGGCCAGAGTTGTTGGATACCCACCAGGAATCAATTACTGGCGGCTTGGAAGGCTCACTATTGAACACATTCATGAAGTCATCATCTTTCTCAGTATATCTATCTTTTAATTCCTCTTCACATCTATCTAAAAACTCTTGGTCATCAGCTGATAATACAGCATCCATTATAATTTTGTTGTGCTTTTAGTATAATCACTCAGGGAGTTGACAACTGAAATAATTACAGAACATTAGATACATCACACTTTTTATAAAAAGCAATCATTGCAATTATCCAAATAATATTATAAATGTGAAAGTGTGTCTGTATGTCACTGTCTCACTACCTCTGAAGGACATAAGATAGTTTTTTTATCCCTGAAATCATCCTTAAGGGGTGGAAGTTAATATCGGGAATCAATAGCCACAGAACCGATTCAGATGAAATTTTTTATAGTGGTAGTGTGATTTTTTATAAAGGACATAGGCGACTTTTTAACAGAGCCGCGAGCACAAGCTAGTTAATTATACTCGTATTTAAGACAACTATTTAAAAAAAAGGTCATGAGAATCAGGTGCTGTCCTTTTCCAGCTTAGAAAAATAAATATAAACTGGCCTAGTATTTTTTTTAAAAGACAACTACCGCATTATTCATATATCCTGTGTCGCGGGGGACTACAAACATACATGAAATGGACACAAAGAACGCCCAGACTCAGAACAAAAATTTGTGGATCACACAGTGTCGTCCCATGTGGGGTTTGAACCCACAACACTCGGCGTAGTACCACTACGCCATCCGTGCAGTCAAATTAGATTAAAAGATAATCTGCCAGGTCTACAGCATAAAACTGATTTAATGCCACTCTGGTAATATATCGACTTACTAGTTTAAATTCTGAATAGAATAAATTTTGTTGTTCAGTCTACTGCAAAGAATTAATAATATTAATCATATCCAGATTCATATGACCATTGCTAGCTAGATACAAAATAAAGTACTGTGGCTTCAAAAACATGGATAAATACATATTTAGACATATTTTTGTAAATACACACTGGTTAGTCCGTGTGGTGACGGATTAAGAATACAAATTGTCACCACCCCAATTCATCCCGTGGGTGTCGTAAGAGCCGATTAATTGAGCAAACTAAGCAGGACAACAGCACTGCAAAGAGAAGGAAAACTTGAAACAAACCCTATACCAACCTGTCTGGCCAGCGTGGTATAGTAGGCCAAAACCTCCTTTCTAAGGAGAGGCCTATGTCCAGCAGTGGACTAGTATAGGCTGTTGATGATGATGACGATGACATAGTAACACCAAGACTAATGCTAATGGACATTTTCATGTTTACCAATATTTGGACTGACTGGAAGCCGAACCTGCTACCCAAATGTGACAGCACACTAACATCGCTCAAAACAGGAGTAGTCGATTACGAGAGCCACACACAAAACTTAAAGCCAGCCAGTAAGTAGCCTAAGGGCCTTATGTAATGGATATGCAGCAAGAGAGAAATAGAGCAATAGAGAAATAAGTAATTATAATGCTTGTGAAAAGCTATGGTTGTGATTAAAATCAACAAATGCAAGATGTTGTTCTCGAGGCATACTGTCTTGTGCCAGATTGAGACTGAATATAAATAAATATGGAATGGATACAATACAAATGCGATTTCAATATATGGTAATTATAGTTTTTATTTTAAAAGTAATATTAGACTAGCCTGCACACTTAAATGGTGAGCAAACTAGTATTATGCTAGCTTGCGCAGACTAACTAAGGCAAGGACCATGATAATATTTATTGGCGATTGCTGATCAGGACTTCAGAGAAATGTTATTATAATTTAAACAGTTTCAGGAGCATCATTGTATTTATTTTCACAACTGGATATGCATTGAATATGGCTAAGCTTTTTGCCCTGACTCAGATTTCCGCATTTAGACTTGAGAGTGGTCCTTTATGCGTCTAGGAGAGGTTGGCTAAGTAAGTCAACCAAGCTACTTCCAGAAGCCTCCTGCTAAGTTCACAGACTTCTAGTAGCGATTTTGTACCTTTGTGTGGCCTTACTTGCCCGTTGTGTGGCCACTCCCTCGCATTCCAGGATTACATGGGCGGTAGTTTCAGGCATCCTCTGCAAAGCGGACTGTCCGTTGCATTTATGGTGAAGAGTTGTTGGTTCAGGGCTAGGTGTCCTGTTATAGATCCTACAACTATTCAGATATCTAGTCTGCTGAGAATGATCAGTCTGCAGGTAAGTCATTGTGACACTTCAGTCAGCACCAGTGTGGCCTGTCAGCAGCTGAGTGAGTTTTACTACCTTCGGTTGTGTGCTTTACTAGTATGCTGTCTAGCTCAGGATCGAAGTTGCTTAAAAGGCAATGGGTAGGAGTGTGGTTGGTCGGGTGGCCGGGTTGCCAAAACCCCTCCTTGCCAGCTTATCTGCAGCTTCATTCCCTAGTGAATTACTGTGCCCTTTAATCCATATGATACCCCATTTGTTATGGCAAGCTTGATGGCATTCGAAAACATTATCAGAGGTCATTGTATTGCCCTCCAGGGGATGTCCTCACTAAAGGCACTGGAGGCAGCGACGGCCAAAAACAAAGGAGGGCTTGTTAGCCTTAGTGCTATCTACCCGATCCGATTGAGGTTTTTCAATCAGGGGTTTATCACATTCAGGGGTTGATCCTCCAGAGTGTTGCCGGGTGTGAGAGGGATATATCTCTCTTCCACCCATATTAATGGACTTCACTGAATTGGTTCACTAGGAATTTGGACCTCTCGAGATATCTTAACAGAAATTATTCACAGACACCTATTAGAGTCGCAGTAACACACACCATGGTTTTAATCAGTTGGTTTCTTGTATTAATTGAGACCCGCTTTTCAACAATTTTAGATACATACATTAATTGATAGAGAAAATCAACATAAAAGTGTTGGTAGAACACCATCTAAAACAAATTTGTGACCTACTTCAGAGTATTTGCTCATTAAGCCTTACCTAGCACAAAGTAGACTAACACCTAGAAAAAAAAACACAATGATAAATAAACATTTAGAATTTTATAAAAGCATCTTTGCAAATGTAATGAACTAAATCTGTTTACCCTACCAGGAAATTGCAGATTAAGACAGTGAACAGTGATTGTGTCCTTCATGTTTAAGGTATTATTGCTTATACCTATCACAAAAACAAATTGCCAGACTAAATTTACACCGATATGAAACACCAAACACAAACCCAGACCCACACATTAAATACCCATAAAAATTAATCATATTTACAACTTCCGCTGATTAAGGATTTCAAGATAAAACCATAAAAAGTTTTAGAGAGTTCTAGCGGACCAGGGTGTACAGGTTTGAACACCCATCCAATATATGATCCACATACTGGACACACACAAGGCCTCCATAGATATCCAGGGTACCAAGATGCCTCCTCTTCCCACTGCAATTATATCTATCAATAGAGTATGCCATAAGATGCCTATAGGCATAGAATCAGAGACGCTATGTTACCTCACCAACTCCTAAGCACGTAGAGTTGTGAAATGTTATGACGAGATAGAGAAAAGGGTCACTCAAAAACGTCTGAACCAAAACTTCGTCCTTATCAAACAAAGTGTCATTGAAATAATTGTAAGCCAAAAGACTAGGTTTAGAAAGTAAAAACTCGGTGGACGACATGTCGGCACCGCAACTGCGACACAAAATACCTTTTTTTTTTTTTTTTTTTTTTTACGGGACTAATCCCACCCACACGCCCACCGCTGTAACTCCTGTACACCAGGATCCACAGCAGTGACCCACGAACACACCGAGTTATGACACTCGGGAAGTCCCAGGAAGAAATTAAACTGTCTTGGAACCCGCAACGAAATTAATCAGAAGAAAATTGGAGGAGTTGGAAATACAGTAAGTCCACTTCCCTCCTTAGCAAAGCGGGAGACAAAATGAAGTAAAAAGGGCATACACCCTTTTAAACAGGGAAGCACCACGGCCACAAATATTACGGGTCCTACGTGAGCTATGTTTGATTTCTATAATATGTATGGCAGAATCGCCTAAACGCACGGAAATTCACCCTAGTTGACACAAGATCCCCATAGTATACCGCCCCAGATGTCACCTGCAAGCTATTCAACATTATATTACGTTCATTATACCAAAGACTACATTCCCAGAGGATATGATGAGCAGACTGTTCATAGTGAGAGTTAGGTGTTGAGCATTGACACAATGGTGACTCGACTAATTTAAATGAATAAAGCTTGCTCTTAAAGTTACCATGACCCGTAAGAAATTGAAAGAAAAATACCTTCTGAAATATCAATAATAGTTTTAATACATTTTAATTATTTAACATAACAGAAAGCTCGTTTCACATTTTTAGTAAGATATATCTACCCATGTATTGAAGGCTCGGCTGGAAGATACAAAAAAATCCAATAAATGGAAAAACTATATTTGAATTCATTGCTAGCTGTATGAGCATAAATTAAATACCTTATTATAAATTTTATGTCAAGTTACAACCGTGTTCACCTCAAGATATAACCATTTCAGATAAGCGTTTGATTTAGGTACGTGTTACTGACACTGCTGAAATGCTGAGTGCTTAGCTCATAGCTGACTGTTGATTAGGGATGGCGATCTGATGTCGATATATCAAAGAATCAATTACGCGGGCCTATAAATCGATTGTTTTAATCGATCTGTAGCACTGAAGTGATTCAGATAATCGATATTTCAACCTAGAAAATCGACATTCGACTTTTCTGTTTTGATAAAAGCCAAAAAATTATTTACACCTAGTTGAATGTACTCAACATAAATAATATGTGGAGTAGAGGAGCCCGAATTCTCTAGCCTTACATGCCTCTTTAAGAGTTTATCACAACGAACTAATACAAAGTGCCCCGTTGGTGTCGCTTTTGCAGCTACTCTATTTTCTATACGTTTGTGACTCCTGAGTTGCAGACGTTCACTGGTCTGCTCCTCTGCCCCCTCTAACATAAAAAAAATGCTACTTGACACACGTAAAGAAAAATCAGTTTTTCACTTAATCATTTATGATAGCAGTGAAGTATATGACTATCGAGGATCATCTGTGCCTTGTCAGCTCCTTTTCTCAATTGTGTCAACATCGAAAGTGATGACTTGAGATTGAGAGACTGAGTTGTTTCTCAAAAGCTTAGACATCAAGCATTGAGAACTTCAAGCTATACACTGTGAATTTGTAATTGCCGTCCAAATTTGTTTTAGGCACTAGACATTATTATATATTTATGTATATCGCATGTATATATGTATAAGTATGTATATTGTATATGTGTTTTATGTCTAATAATATATTGCTTTTTACCTCTTTTATGTTCATTAGTAATCAACTACTACTGTCTGTCCAAAACATTTTAATCCATCCTAAGGTTGCCTGGAAGAGAATATTCTTATCAATAAGGCTGCCCTTTGTAAATTACATGTCTCATATTTTTATGTACCATACTACTTGTAAAACGGTGTACAAATAAAGAGATTTCTATCTATCTATCTATTATTTTTTAACCCCTTTTGGCAAAAAAAATGGCTGGTCAAATTTTCAACATAAAATATTTATATACCGGCCGCCGGCCGGTACAGTTGAAACAATTAAATAATTACTAGGTCAGTCGGCCGCGTCTTATCACGTCGGTGCATCCTTTGTGTTTACAGCCCGTTCTTACAGTGCTAACAATATTTTCTAATGGCGAGTATTACGAAATGGTGCGTTGTTACATTCGTAGTGTTGAAAGCCTAAATGGTGCACAACGCTTGTACTAGTCGGAAAGTATACCACGACTCCAAACACAAGGCATACTAAATCCATCGGTGCCTAACCGCCAAACGATTTTATTCGTAAATCAGAGGCTGTTAGACTACGGACAGTTTCGAGTTCGAGTTTTGAGGTCGAGACTTGCTCTCTTGCAACAAATCTTCGACTTCTTTGAACGGGATCCTCGAGCAAGCACACGAGCCGCAGCGCAACGCTTCTGCGTAAGCCAATACGCAGTATGGAAGCTGATAAACACTACTGGCTTGCACCCTTACAATTATCAAAAAGTCCAAGACTTACAAGAAACAGGCGCCTTACCTCGTCGACAATTCTGCGAATGGCTTATCGCATACCCCGGTGCTAATATTTTGTGCACACACGAGGCCAGGCAATATTTTGTGAATTGATGTCATTGGCGATAAAATACTTGGGCCGCTGACCGGTAACACCTACCTAAACATGTTGAGAGGGGTTATGAGTTCATGGATGGCGTGACCCTTCTTTATAGGGATTTTTATTACCAACACGACGGTGTGCCGCCACTGTTCGTGACTATTTAAATACAGAACACGATAACCGCTGGTCATGGTGGTCCCGTCCCATGGCCGCCTCGATCACTGGATTGGGGTGAAATTGTATGTGAAAGAGTTCCAAGGCCTCGCCAACTTTTAAACACATATAGTGCGAGCGTTCGAAGATGAGCGTAATGACACTTTAGTACTAAAGAAAATGTTCAAAAACGAGTTAGACTTTGCTTAGAGACAAACGCACTACATTTTGAACATTTATTAAAATACATGTAAAACAGTAGTGGTAAGTTAACCTCTAATGCTTCTTTTCCTATTTATTGTATATATTGTGTATATTTTTGTATTTCTTACTTATTTCAAACGTCCAATTAATTAAGTGAAGTTTCAGTATTTGGATGTTATGTTAGGTACTTTATTTATCAATGAAATGTAGCGAAGTATGCGATACCGAGAGGTCATTGACTCTTGCGCGACTACCAAGCACAGGATGTCTACAAATTGCGAGTTCTTGAGACAACGATACCCCTGACAGCTTGCCATTGCTGTCGACCTCAACAAGTTAATTTATCGAAGGTATCATTATATTAAGAAATAAAGAGAAAGGAGATGCTGGAGGGTCTCCTGGTGACCCCTGGGGTCGTCTCTAACACGCGGCGCAATAAAATCCCCTCGCGTCAGGCCCCTTACGGAGCCCAGCTTCCTGCAGACAGTGATTGAGGGCCTTTTCCCGCAACGGGTGGAACACACCCCCGTTAATGACCTCCTTGGTCGGAGACAACGGAAAGAACAAGGAAGATGTTCCGCCTGTCACGGATTCAGAGGTAAGGGCGGCTGATGTACTGATCCGTTCCAAAAACACCGCCTCCGGGCAAGACGAGATACCTGCCCGAGTGTCAGACCGCCTCAGGGAGGTATTTGACGCTAGCTTGGCGTTCCCACGTTTCAAAACTGGGAACGCCATTCCCACGTTTCTCTGAATGCTGGAAGAGCGGGAAGCTGGTCTTGTTAAGGAAGACAGGGCGGCCTGCCGATTCGGTCGCGGCCTACAGGCCCATCGTGTTGCTGGACGAGGAAGGTAATTTGTTCGATAGGGTACTCTCTCCCCACATCATCCGCCACCTTTATGAGGTTGGCCCCGATCTGTCGTACGCCCAATTCTGTTTTCGAGCAGGGCGTTCGATGGCCGGCGCTGTGCTGCGCCTGAGGGCCGTGACCGAAGAGGCGGTCAGCTGTGGCGGCGTGCTGTTGGCGGTGTCGTTAGACATCTCCAACGCATTCAATAGTCTGCCATTCAGCTGCATCAGGGAAACACTCCACTATCATGGGGTACCTGAGTACAAAGTACCTGAGGCAGCTAGTGGCAGACTATTTAGAGGAGCGTAACGTCGTGTACGAGGATCCAGATGGTAACCTGAGGTGTCGGCCCATGTCGTGCGGTGTACTCCAGGGGTCTGTTCTTGGGGCCCTTCTATGGAACATAGGGTACGACTGGGCCCCATTAATTTTCTCCCCGGGCAATTGTGACGATGATGATACCTTAGTCACGGCCCGGGGGGCGAACTTTCAAGAGGTAGCGCGCCTGGCCATCAGGGGAGTTGGACTTACGGGTGGCCCTGGATAAGACGGAGGCCTTCTTATTTCATGCGCTCCGTCGTGGTCCTCGCTTGGATGGGAGGTTAGAGCCATACGCGGTTACTGCACCATGTCGATGGAGGTGGCGTGCGCGTTGGCCGGAACTCCTTATGGGATTTGTAGGCGGAACTGCTCGCCGAAGTATATCGGCGGACGGCTGAGTTCCGGCCGGGTTGCGTGGTTCGGCTCCCGTCCGAAGAGGTACGCGCGTAGCGTGAGGCAGTTACTTTTTTACATAACGTTCACTATTAATCTAACAGATTTGAACAAAAATTACTAGTCCCTTTCCTTAAATTAAGAAATAAAGAGAAAGAAGATGCTGGAGGGTCTCCTGGCGACCCTTGGGGTCGCTCCTATCACGCGGCGCAATAAGACCCTTACGGAGACTCTCCAGCCCAGCTTCCTACAGACAAAATTAACTGATTTAAAAATTTCATTATTTTATTACTTCGTCTTATTTGTACATGTGTGTCTGTCCCTTAGTAGTAAAAAAATTTTTCTTTTAGCTGCTAAATACATTAGTGAGCTCATTCGTAAATAGCGATTTAAACATCGTTTTTTTAATTTTTAATCACCACATTAAAATAATTTTATGATTCGAACCAGCAGTACCTGAGATTAGTGCGTTCAATCAAACAAATAAACAAACAATGAAACTCTTTAGCAGAATAGATCGATTATTAACCTTTCTTAATTTCCATAAAACGGATTTATAAAAAAAAAACAATTTAAATGTTGATTTGTTTGTGAATCGATTCAAAGCTTGCGATTTGAATTGATCTCAAAATCGATCTTTTTCGAAAAGAATCGCCATCCCTACTGCTGAGTGCTAGCTGACATAATTTTATTGTGTACCACAGATTACTATAACGTTGTTGTGTATCGCATTGCCAAGTAGTGTTGCCAACAATTAGTGAAAAATCTATTTTGCCAATTACTATGTTTCTTTTCTATTGTTTTAATGGATTATTTTTGTTAAATACATTTTTATGCATTGCAATCATATGCTATTTACTACTTGAATAGAATCTGAAACTAAACCGTAGAGTGAATAAATAAAAATGAACACACTACCGGAAGAAAAGTTTCGAAGCGTTTGTGATAATATGATGAAAGTTCCAATATAAAAAAATGATTTTTTTGCAGTAGAATGTAATATTTGCCTGAGGATCCTCATTTCCAATACCGTCAGTAATGTATATATGGTCATAATATACTTGACTTATTGTAATTGATTGAACAATCTTCAAAAAATTAAATACTTACTTATATACAGAATGCTAATTCCCACTCGATACCTATACTCATTCTTGAGCAAAACAGGCAGACGGGAAACAAAGAGATCATGTAAGAGTTAACTTTTTGCTTTTGTAGTGAACTAAACATAGTACTAGTATTTGAATAACAATTTATTTATAATTAATATAAACTTTTCTTTACCGAACCGGTTGTTTGTTATTAGCGTACCGATTTTTAAGTCGGTATTGACATTAGTTATCCACATTATATTTTGCTATAAGCAATCTGCCGTTCTTGTACTTTTGCATAATTATTACTTTTAGTTATTTACAAAATTATTTGTTAAAAAACTGATTTCTTATTTTATTTTACAGTTTTATTTCATTACAGTGACATTCATCATAAAAATTTCAATGAGTAATGTACGTCTGATTCTGTTATTCGTAGGGAATTATGGTAAAAACTATTATAGTGCAATAATGATTTTTAACGTATCTTTTGCATTAAGTTTTTAATTTGTATTTGCTTGTAAGAAATATATAACGTTTAATATCTACTCCATGCGTAGTACCATAGTAGGTATATATATATATATAGCCATGACAAGTTTGACAAACAATACGTCAGTCGTCAATACACAATACTGACAATTGACAATACAAAATAAGCTAAGGCAATAGTGTTGATTTTGTTTGTATAATATTTTGGTATATAAATATTAGTAACCAATAATGTCTGAAAACGTGAATATTGATCTATCGGGAGAAATAAATGCCACCGTTGAAAAAAAAGGATTCCAAAAGTATGTCAATGATATGGAATTGTAAGTCTTAACAATAACGCTACGTGGTGTTTTTCGTGTCGTAGTGTTTATGCGTTAACATTTATAGTTTTTAAATGTTTTTTTGTGTTAAAGTCCGTTCATAATAATGCAATACGTCATATAAGTTAAATTCGCATTCCTTCATTAAATACATAATTCTCTACTTAAATTTTTTTAAATTATTATTATTTTGTTTTCTTTTATATAAATCAACTCTTATTATTAACTACAAACTTTGTAGATATTTTTTTACTATGTACTATAAACAATATTGACACCATGTAGGCAATATTATTAAGTATTTACTAACATTTTGTTCTATGATGTTTAGGAACTGAAGAATGACTTATTTTCATAGGACTAAAAATCTATAGGACTTTGATATAAAATTTTCAATGTCAACAGGTACCCAGATAGATGTGGGTCATTACACATATATATTTCTAATATTTTAATTAAAGGTTATGTTTTCAAAGATTGCTTCAGCATGTCCGCAGTGGTGCTGGTCCGGCTCTGGTTATGGGAGTCCTTGCATCTCGCAGACCATGGACACAATTTGTAGCTACTGATAACTTTAAGGTGAAAAATTAGAATGGTTTATCTTCAGTGTAGAACACAGTTAGAGAAGAGCGTTTTGATATATCTACTCTATAAACTTAGGTAAGTAAGGAAAGCTAGAATGCTAGTACTTGTCCTGTGGTCTAGCTTTCCTTATTCTACCTTTTTGTTACATATCAGTGACTTTGATTTGGATGTAATATATGTATTTAAAAAAATCTTGACTAATCTAGGTTTTATAATCAATCGGATTTCTACACTATACATATATACGAGCTTTATCATAGTAAATGCATGCCTATGATGTTTTGTAAATATGTTTCTACATATTGCAATGGTATATGTTCAAACTTGCAGGTACCTCCGTCTATACCTCGTCTGTCCAGACGTTTCTATCGAAATGTGGAATACTTTCAAGCCAATTACCTAATGGTGTTTTTGGGGTTGTTTGCCTATTGTCTGTAAGTATTGCCCATTAATATTGTGGCGTTTATTCTTATTTATTATTCAGGTAACTTTTACGCGCCTATTTTCATTTTAGAATAACCACACCTTTGTTACTTATTGCAATGGCTGCCAGTTTTTTTGGATATAGAAAATTATCTTCAGGACCAAATACATGGAAGGTAAGCTTTGTAGAAGGTACTAATGTTTACATTCTAACATACTTAGTCTTTTTACACATTATACATAATCTGTCTGCTCTTTTGCTCCCTACATCACAAACATAAAAACACTTTTTTAGTTAGGTCAGATGCCTTTTTGCCACTTGTTTAGAAATAAAAACTTCTATTAATATAACATGATGTTATTTATATATGTTTTAATATAAAAAGAGGTAATAATTACTGATTATAATTATTGATTATCAGTAATAGGGAATATGCATGTATTTTTTTAATTTTTTTAAACGATTCTACTAGTTATTACATTACAAAAAATAAATATAACACATCCGAAATATAAACCGTTAAGCAAAAAAAAATTTATTAAAATCACCATCATTTTGGGGCAATTTTAACACGTCCATTTTGGCGCGCTTTTTTGTGACGTCAGATTACACTTTCAGACGAATTCAATGTCAACAAAGGAGTGAAGTTCACAAAGATTGTGAAAGTTAAAAAAGTTAGTAATAAAAATTAACTTATTACCATGGAAAAGCCAATAAAAACTTATTATAAATATTGTGCCGTTCCTTTGTGCCCAAATAATATCAAAACTGCACCTGACAAAGTATATTCAGTCATTGTGTTGAGTCTTTCTACACGGGAATTTAATAATTTAACACTGAAAACGTATTAGTTATTAACTTAAAATGAAACAAGTAATCACCAGAAACCAATATTACAAATACACACAACTTGTTGACACTCTTGACAGTGTAGGTTGACGTCACGTTTTATTCAACCAATAGCGTTGCGTTTTAGAAATTTGCGAGGGAATCTTAAAAAAGCCAATTTTTGATGATTAAATTTCACTATTAAATTATAATAAATTTCAAAAATAATTGTATGGGTATCTTTTTTTAGCAATAAAAATTACAAATAAAAATATTTTGTCCATTTTGGTGTCACGTGCATATTCCCTATTATCATATCATAGTTCTCAATTTTCAATTAGCGATATAAGTTTTTAAAAGTGTTTCAGAAGTTGAACTTTGTGCAAACAAGTTTTGCCTTTTCTGATAATATAATATAAAAAAACTCCAGAGAAAGCCTGCTTGGCTGTGTAATATTTTTTTTTATAATAAATTTCTTAGTGTGTATGGAATTTTAATAAAATAAAATAAATATTTATTGTTTCAGCCGCGTGTAAGTTCCTTAAATAGTTTTCTTTATCACACTTGACTTTAACGAAATATCAATATCCTTTTTCTTGTAATAGTTATTACTAACTATCCTTATATATATCCTATACCTTTGACTATCTTTCTTTATTTTTTTCGTGTGGTACTTACTGATCTTTAGATTGGTGGTTGGGAGTTAAGCAAGACGCAGCAATATGCAGTTGCCGCAGCAGGGTCTATGGCGCTTTGCTGGATAGCTGGAGCAGGGGCTGTACTATTCTGGGTTTTAGGTAAGATTAACTTAAGATTTAACAAATATAAACTTCAGATTGGTGTAGAAATAAAACAAAAATATATGTAAAATGGTATTTCATTAAATATTTTGTATCTAATTGAAATAAAAAATTCCTGGCCACAGCCTGTTTCGGTTGCACCATGGTGACAATCAAATCTAAAAATTATTTACTGTAGTAAAGTTAATTGAGATAATCACAACACTCCAAACACTAAAACGTTCACACATAGGTAATATATTTAATATAATGTGCTAGTAAATATGTTATGATTGAGTTACTTACGAGTAACAAATGATAATCAACACAAGCACTTCGGATTTTGTTACCAAAATCTAAGCTGGACAATTATCACGTGTCATCGGCCCCGCAAAATTTCATTTTTGCTGCAATTTTATCTAACGGTACCTCTGCATCCGTCTGAACAAACGCATTAATAATGGTGAACACAGGTGCAGAATACAAATGCGATTGCGCAAATTATGCGGAAGTTAAATACATTATGTTCTGCTTGCAGGAGCAACAGTGACAGTAGTAGCGCTTCACGCCAGCTTCTTCGACGCGGAAGTGCTTCCCGCTCCTGACGATCCAGAACAGTTTCCCATGATCGAGCAAGTTTGACAGACTCACCTCCTATCGCTTTTACCCCCGCATAGCCACTTGATCTACCATCAGATCAGTGAACCACACTGAAAATATATTCTGATGTTTTAAACAATGTTCATACGTTTTTAAGTATTATTACAAATTAATTAAATATTTTTAAGTTGAAGTTCTTCACATGTGCAGATTTGGTTGGTACTAAACATATGAAATAGCCCTTATGTGTTTTACTTGCCACATGACGCTGTCTACATTATGAGTTATGACTCACAAAAATTAGAGGACTCTTAATAATACAATAATGGTGTACCAATATTTATATTATAATGTACTTATTGAAGGGAATCTGTTTATAAAAGGCAGTATAGGGTTAGAAAATACCTATACATATGTTTATATGTTGTAGATGTAAATACAAACTTACAGAACATTTCTCCAGCTCTCCTCATGTTCCATTCTAAGTGTAAAAGTTTTTGGAACTGTGTAATTAAACAAATCAATACTTTTGATGTTTACTTACTTTATTAGTAATATCAAAATGCCATACACTTTCAATTCATTTTGTGTAAATAATTGTCAATGACATATAGCTGGTTTTGATCTTGTCAGTTTTTCTGAGTATTTTTGTAATCATGTATATATTTTACTCATTTGTATCATATAGTTTGTTTTATAAATCTAAGTTAAATTGTAGTTGCAATAAAATAATTGATACCAAATTGAGAAGTTTCTTGTTCTTAATATAAATTTATTTAGGAGCAACCTGGTAATTTTCATTCTTAATAATAAAAACTAAATAAAGGTATTTCATTTATTATGATTACAAATTATAGGTAGAAAATAAAGCATATTCCATATAAATTGAAGACCACAACAAGGTGCTACATATTTCAGTGCAAACATATCATAATTTTACATTTTAAAGATTTAGTCATAATATGGGTCAAAGACAAACTAGATACAAAGGCATAGAGTTATAATATTAGTAAAGAGTCCAGTCTAATCTCTCACACATGAATTTTCGCTCGAGCCTGTTACATTTAACATGATACTCTGCTATGAACTTATCAATAACCTGGGGCAATTATAATATATTATTGCAACAAATAAAATTACTCTGCTCTAAGCAATAACTGAATAAAATTTAAATATAGGAACAAAGTACATTATAATTTTGTTTATAAGTCTACAATATTTTCTGGAAGACAAATAATAGAAAAAAGAACTATATAAAATCTGAATTATTTCATTACAATATTTTTAAAACTAATCACAAGACAACTCCATTGTTAATTCTAGTCAGTTCCATGTCAGCAACAAGCAAGATTTCATCCCACTTATGTGACGGTGTGTGAGGTGGGGTTGTGATACCAAGCTTCAGTTCTTTGGTGGAAGTTGGAGTTGTGAACTCCAGTTTCCGTTTGGATCTCCCAGCAAAGACACTGCAAGCTGGTATCCGCTGCTGATTGTCCAGTGCAGACAGTGGAGTTATTGGTGACGGAGTGCTTTGAGCTGTCTTGTCACACTTTTTAACATTGTGTGGTCCCACATATTTAAAAACTGGCTTCTTTAATATTAAATTACCTGATACTTTTTCAATGAGACCAATAGAAATAAATACATTGGCAATATCATACAGTCTTCTCACTTTTGACTTGTGTTGCCGATCCTGCTGCTCAGGAGAGATCACCGTTTTAGTCTTACTAGATGTGTCTATTAGTACTCTCACAGCCATCTCCAAATTTATAAGAGTATTCTGTGGATAAAAAAATTAAATATATTTGCTAGAAATTGACTTTGTAAATAATGGCATACAGGCTTAAAATACTCACAGGAGGTTCAACTAAGAATAACATTAGGAATCTTTGAGCAAGTACACCTAGAGTCTTATGCTTTGGAGTTGGAGGCTTTGGTGCCTTTCCTCGTAATGCATCAGATAACTTTAAGTGTTCTCCTTGCTTCTTAAGCATCTTCAGAAATGAATTTAGCCGAGATCCTCCATGCCAAAGATATGTGTTCTTCCTTTTATGGACAGCACACTGCATAGCTTCTAGTATGTTTATTATGTCATACATTCGACGTTTCTCCACACCTAGCCGGGTTGCAGTGCTATCCAGCTGGATTTCGACTGGGCCATCTCCAAGAAGAGGATAGAGATTGAGGAATCTGTAATAACCTTTTCCAATGATTTAAAACAGTTAGGGTAAACCATAAACCTTTTAATGTATGTACTAATGATTACCTATCACATAGGATTTGGAGGGATTTTTCTTTTCGATGAACAGTACTTGGTGGCGGTGTTGGGTATTGCAGGGCGACATTAGTCAGCAACTTGAGATTAGCAGTTGGTGATACATAATTAGTGGAATTTGTAACTTCAGTTAGCACGCAGCGCTTTGGTGTACAAGTTATGTTGTCATCTTCATACATCGTGTGATAACATTATGCAAAAACCAATTTTACAAAATATTCGCGTACTTTTTGACAGCTCACGAGAAATCTAGTTGGTCGTATAGTATTCAGAACTTCATCTTAAACAAAGCATTGGAAGAAAATAGAAGGTCCTTAGTTTCATTTAAAATAACAAATGGTAATAACTTATAACTAATTCAATAAAAGTAACCTCACAGTAAACAATTTTGACAGTAGTAAATTGCGCGCGAGGCTCGAAGTTTCTTAAACTCTAATAGCGGCTTCCCGCGTTTTGAAGTTACTATTAGAGTTGTTTTATGCATAATTATTTTTAAATAGAGTTATTAACTCTGTATCTAATCTGATGAGTGTTATTTTAGTATCAAAAAATATTGATAACATGAGTTTACCAATAAAACGTTTTGTTATTTAGTTTGATGTTAGGCATAGACTACATGTTTTATTGTGTTTGATAACTTTGATAGTGCAAACATAGGACTTTCAAATTAAACAAATAAAACTCCTTTAATAAGGACCAAACTCCTTTACTAATTTGAGTTTTTGTTTTTGCAATAATAGTTAGACACAAAATATATTTTAAATGTTAAATGTTACTTTACATTAAAAACTACAAGAAACGGAAGTCAGATTAGTTTATGGAAGGAAATTCTTTTTTTACTTGCGTCACGTCATGGCTGGCATGAAGCTTGATTACTTTTCTTGCAAAAGTGAGCTTGGTTTTCTTTGAAAGTGGAGGTTTCAGATAATGTTTTGTCTTTTATTTACATTTCGGGACAACTGAACTTGAAATGTTTGGTTATTTAAAGTAAGCGAAACTGTTGATATTATAATATGTGTCGTTTGCACTAGAGAAAAGTGTAAATTCGTAACAAAATGAACGACGGTGATTGGATATGTAGTGATCCGAATTGCGGCAATATAAATTTTGCACGCAGAAATTCTTGTTATCGATGTAATAAAGAAAGGCCAGATCCTATAAAATCATTAAAAAAGAAACTTGGTACCGAAATCGGTAAAACGGCAGCTGAAAAGAGTCGTGGCTTATTCAATGCTGATGATTGGCAGTGCAACAAATGTGCTAACGTTAACTGGGCCCGGCGTCAAACATGTAACGTTTGCAATGCACCAAAATATGGTGAAGTAAGTATTTACCAACTATTTGGAGTTTATTACACAAACAAACAAAATGTACTTTTATTTATAATTTTGTAACGCTGTTGTAGGTGGAAGCTCGCACTGGTTACGGCGGTGGTTACAACGAGCGCGGTGTAGTGGAGTATCGTAGACGAGAACCTTCATCCGATGATGAATACGATGAGTTCGGCCGAAAGAAACGCAAACGCAAATCTGAGTCGGAAGAAAAGGTACATACTCTTTTGTTATGCCGTTTTTAGAATAATATTTTTTTTTATGAATATCTCGACAGTTATCAGTATCATGCATAATATACATTTCTTTCACTTGTCTTACAGTATATTACACTATTTCATATTTAAAAATCTGTATATTTATATTCCACATCAACAGCTTTTTGTGTCAATTATTTCTTTTTATCTAATATTCAGGGAGTAATGGATTTTGAAGCTCAGAAGAATTGATGTTGTATTATAAGTGCAATAAATTTTTGAAGCACATCATTACTAAAGTGGAGATTATTTTTCCTGCCTTCAGGTTGGCATCACTGAAGGAGCAGTATTCAAAAAGTTGCCACCATCTGTGCTGCAGAAGGAATCAAATGTGGAACATGTTACGCTTGTTACTGAAACTATTATGCCGAGTCCTAAAACCAAATCACAAGAAACAATTAATGGCAGTCTTAGTGATGGCTCAGTGTGTGACATTGCTCCTCTAACAAAAGCAGCAGTTGATAAGTACCAAAAAATCAGTCCACATCAACAATTTATAGCACCACCTACTTTAAAATCAAATAGTGTTCAATCAAGAAAACGGTTTGTGAGTACTGGTGATAAAGATCTAACTGCTTCATCTGGCTATGAAACTTGCTCAAAAAAGAGTAAACGGGATAGAACAATATCTCCAGTAATTAAAACATATAATCCTGTTATGGAGAACATGGTTTCCTCCACAAACAATGACATAGTTTATAAGTTCACAGGACCAACACCAGCTGAAGATTTTGAAGTTACATATACTGTTGAAGAAAGAGTTAAAGCTGCTGCATATGCTATTGTCTATAAAAACTGTAAAATCAGTACAGAAAAGTTTGAAGCATTTTATGACAAACCAGCTCCAGACTTCAAAACTATATTTAGATGGAGACAAAGGCTTTTATCTACTGGATGTTTAGTTGATTCACATGTTGACACCAAGAATGGGCCAATAGATAATCCTCCTCACACAAACATGGTTCCAAGAACTGAAGATGCTAGCCATAAATCTATTTGTAAAGTAAAAAATCCGGAAGAAATAGTAATAGATTCTGAAAGTGATGAAGAAATTAATAACACCCAACATGACCTTTTAGCAAGAAGTTATAGTGCAGAAACACTTTTGATTCCTCCAGAACTTGATGTACCTGGTAGTTGTGCAAGTACTATTGAAGACAGGGGGTCTCACGGAGGCAGTCATTCTCAATCAACACATAGGAGGGCTTGTTCCAGTTCAAGAGACAGTCAAGATTCCAATTATCCTGATACAGATTCAGAAAGATTGGGAACTAAGTCTGTAAATTCTAGGGCTGGCTCATGTTCAAAGTCTGCCAATCTGTCTGCTAGACAGTCAATAAATACAACTGATTCTGATTCAATCTCTTTTGACAGCGAGGATGATAACTTTTTATCAAGAGTTTTTCCAAATAGAGATGGTAGGAAGAGGAGAAAAATTAAAAAACGACCTGTTCTTGCCCCTGGCCCAGCTCCTGCTGCTATGGCCAGAGGCAGTAATTATGTTCCTAATGAGATTCAAGCCTTTGAAGGGTATAGCACGGTCAAGCCTAATGAGAAATCACCTTTAGTGACTGGGAACATTTATACATCAAATTTGCGCAATATGAATGTAAAGACTCGAGCTAGTATACCTATTGACATTGATAACTGCTCAAGTGAGTATGTACCTACAAGATTAGGTTTAAATACCAAACAAAATTATGAACAATTCAAAGACAATGTAAGAAAAAAAGGATACTGGGCCAAGGGAAATGGAACGGCCATTGTAAAAAATAAAAATAGTGTTTCAATGGATGTAACACTTACATCAAAACCAATAAAAGTAACACCACAAGAAGAAATTACTATTACCAACTATTGTTCAAAAGTTGAATGTTATGAAGCGCCAAAGGCTAAACTTCCCAAAAATGAGATGGATGATTTTACAAAGGATGATTTTGATAATTTCGTAGATTCAGAACAATATTTACCATTTGAAGATCAAAAAATGAAATCTGAATGTACAGATCGAATATTTGCTTTGGTACAGTCTAATAATTCTACTAAACAGAAAAGTATTATGGACATATTTAATATTAATGGTTCAGAGCAAGGAAGCCCAGATGCAGATGAGGAACTAGAAAAGTTTGATAGTATGCGCAAAGTGTTAGAAACACAGTGGGATCAAGACGATGATGATCTTTATAAAGAATCCCCTTCCAATGATCCACAGGCTTCTGTGTGTCAGTCCCCATCTCCTAGTGTAGGATCGTTTAGAGCTCTCAGCCCTATGTCTAATATGTTATATGCTACTAATAAACAATCTAACTCAGAGGTCACACCCAAGAAGCCTACTGCAGATTCGCTCAAAGTAAAACAAGACATGCTATTAGGTTTGTTAAAAGATTTTCAACACAATGAAATTGGTGAAGTCCTATCACCATTAAAGGGAGTAACCCCACAAAAGCAAATAAGTTCACAAAAGGCAGAAGAAGAGCTTGAGGAAATAATATCTAACAAGAAACATAGAGTTAATACAAGTTCGATTATGAGTCTACATTCTAGGCCTGAACCTATTCCGTCTGACTTGTCCGAAAAAGTATTACATCTGCCAATGAATAGTTCTAACATGGATGAATCCCAAAACAACAAAAAACCAATTAGTCCAGCAAAGAAAGTACATATTCTGGAATCTGTTACTATTCGACCAGGTTCAACTTATAATTTTATGGCGTCAAACTATCAAAATACAAATCAATGTGAAATTACTAACCCAGTTACAAATGATGCACCAAAGATAGTGTGTGCTGTTCCAGATGTAGAATCAAATAAGACACCTGAACAACAACATGAAATAGAAAACCCTGCTGTTCAACCTCCCTCACAATTAGATGTGTCTAATTTACTTGCCGGTATAAATACAAACACCCTCTTATTGGCTTTGCAAAACCTTCAACAATTATCACAAAACTCATCAACTAATTATGCAAATAACAATAAACAAGATCTTGTTGAAGAAATCAGTACAAACGAAAATAATCAAGCCATTGAAACTATTAATTTAACAAATGATGAGGAGTGGGAGAAAGAATCAAACAGAGATGGCAGTATTGAGAGACAGCTGGAAAGGTTAGATGGAAACACTGGAGATACTGCTTTTTTAGGGGATATTTTTGATCCTAAACCTGTTCATTTACCACTTAATGTGGCGAGAAAATTAAACTTGGGTGTTGAAGAATTTGATGACAATTTAAATAGTTCGCAAATCAAGGAGGATTCTTCTGTTATAGGAAACTTCAAAAGTTTCGCTTTGCCAAAACCTATACTACTAAATAGATTAAAAGTGACAGTGAAAACAGTAGATAAGAGCACAAAAAAATCTGTTGATGGGAAGAGAGTGAAGAAGAAGAAAAAGGTTTGTACATGAATTCTTTAAAGAAGAAATAAATTAAATATATATGGCAAGTTGATCTTTTAAACTGAGATTTTAAACTTGTTCCTATTTTATTTTCAACATTGTGCAGGGTACTAACAGATGATGTATTTTGAGAATGGAGTGATAAGTATTGTTGTATGACTATACTGCAAAAGTGAAATTGTTGCAGACTAAACCTGGCTCTGCCCGCGAGGGAGACGCGGGAGAGGAAGAAGATGACGAAGAAGAATCGGGTGATGAAGCAGACTTATCCAAATATGACTTGTGGGGCAGTGATGCAGAACAGGGCAATTCTTCCAGAAGTGGTGAGATTTAAGTGTGATTTTTGTTTCTTCCTCCAAGCCTTTTTCTCAAGCTAGGTTGGGGTTGGCTTTAAGCCTACTACGATATGGCTGAACTTCGATTTGTTACGAGCAATGACTGCCATCAGACCTCCTCAACCCAAGTAGACGATATCGAAGTTCTGTAGTCTTGTTGGACTTTTAGGGCTCCAACTACCCATAATATAATAGTGAAATTCAATTTTGTGTGAATTTCGAATCTAGTATTTATGCTTACTAAACCCTAAATATGCAGACTTGTAGGTTTCAATGATTTATGTTGTCTGTTTGAACAAGTTGTAATAAAAAAATAAACAGTTAGAAATCTTATTTTTGATTTCAGACAACATTGAAAAAGAAAAATTAAAGGAAGGGGATAAGATAAAGGAAGGCGATTCAAAGAGTCCAGCAGATAAAAATGCTAAGAAAGATAAAAGCCTTTCACCTGTTTCCAGGAGCAGTAAGAGAAGGTTAGTTTAAAAATAAACATATTGAAAGTAATTTAAACCTGTATAGTGTTTTAGGGTGTTTTGCATGAAGTGTTGGTGATAAAAATGATTAAATATATTTGCAGGTCTAGGAGTTCCTCGTCATCATCAAGTTCATCATCGAGTTCCAGTTCTAGTCATAGTTCCTCTCAGGCACCTAAAAATAAGTGAGTTTTAATTTAGAATGGTGTTGGGGTTCCCTAATAAATAGTCCTCGGGTCCAGGACCTTTTTTTTTGGACTAATGTAAATGAAATTTACGATTGATGATAGACACATTTATATTTACATTTATTATTCAATGTACTAGCATGGTGTAGCTAAATAATCCTTATCCATTACTTTCACTATTTTGCAATGATAATAAAAAGGTTTGTCGGACACTTTTTCTATTTAATATAAAATGTATTTTCTCACATATATAACAAAACAAAACAAAGCAGACAAGAGGTAATAAATTAAATAACTACCAAAAAATCCACATGTTCACCGCGTCGGACTCGGTACAAGAATCATAATTTTTGTCGGACACTTTACCGTTATTATCTTGTAATTAGAATGAAAATTTGTGGTTGGTAATAAAAAAACATACTATCGTTAAATGGACGTGTTTGCAGGAGTAAAAATGCTGCCTATTTAGACTTGGCACGTAAGAAACTTGTCTGACTCAGTAATACAAATAAGTCGGCTAAGTTTTAGCTTGCAGGTAATAAAAAATTTAAAAAAAGTTCCTGAGCCCTAGGACTATAACTTTGCATGTTCTAATTATTTTTGCTAAATCGTTAATCTCAATTTGTTTTCTATAGATTCGACGATTTTAACCTCAATAGCGAACGAGAAACGTCGCCCAAAGGACGGAAGTCACGGTCTAGGTCACGATCGCCCCGCGCTCGCTCCTCTAGTCGACGTAAATCGCGGGATAGTCGATCAGCAGGGGAGTCGAGGTAACAGTACGATCGGTATATTAATGTCATCCTATCATTTTAATTTGATTTAGAAGGCACCGAACCTGCTCAATATCTACCTAGAGTAGAACATTTCTAACGTTTTCATTTTAGTGTGAGATTTTGTACTTAAGACAAGCCAGATACGTGCCATTGTTGTTATGGTACAGGAGGCAAACGAGCAGACGGGTTACCTGATACCTGCAACTCAACAAACCCCTTTTAACAAATTTCAAAAGGAGGAGGTTATCATTCCGAATGTTTAATAATTATTTTTTTTATGTTTGTTCGAGCATAAGTCTGTCAAAATAAAATAGGCGGAAAGTTTTTTTTTTGTTTGAAAGGGATTGGTTCTGAAATTTCATGATTATGATTTTATAGACAGACAAAGGAACTCTTCAAAAAATGACAGCAAATCAACCGCGATTGCTGCTAGGTTTTTAGTGCTCTTTGTTAGTACTGTTTGAAGTCAGTTCAACTTTTTTTAAGTAGGATTTTCTTCTTCTTTTTTTTATCGTGTGGGCAACCCCTCTCGGGACGTCACCCACCTGGGTTTGCGGCGGGGCGGTGTGTGGGAATCGATCCGACTAAAACCACACGGTGTCTGCGCCTGAGATAGGAGGGGTCCAGGAACAGATGATATTAAGACATCCAGGCCATCCTTTGAGCGAACCCCGGGTCGTCCTTCCGGTAACCTAACTTACTCGGTCAAAAACAACGAAAAGTTGTGTTAATTAGCCGGTGGTACCATTCTGGTGGAACTGGTCCATATTTGCCGAAGCATAGCTCACCCATGACTAATATGAGCTGCTCAACCCTTATGCTTAGTTCTTGTCGCTAATAATTATTACGATACTTACATTTCCAGGAGCCATGAGTCATCGAGAGACAAGGAATGGGCTAGAGATCGCGACCGTCGTGATAGGTCTCGGGGCAACCGCGACGAGCGTAAAGAACGCCGCTACAGCCGCGAAGGAGGGAATCACTATGGATCGCGCGGGCGACACCGCTAGTCGTGCCAATGTGTGAAGTAGGCCATTGGATTTGAGTGTACAATAGTATTTATTTAGTGCAACGAGTGAAACCCAATTGACGGACCACCGAATGATCAACGCATTGCAAGCAGCTGTTGTAATTTTGAAAGTTATATGTGGATTGGAAAGAGACTATAGATATTTTAGACATAATTATCTTGTTGGTATAAGTTGATGGTGGAATGATCGTGCTAGTAATAGGCTAATATGATAATTACCTGTATATAGTTAGACGATGTGGTGTTTATAGTCCACCTATAACTCTACCCAGTAATATAGGTCGTGTCTAAATTTATTTTAATCTTATTACTTGTGGATTTTCGTTTGCGCTTTGTGATAATTGCTTATTAGGATTTCAGAGTTTAGTATAAATTAGGCGCTTAATGATTGTCAGGATCTCAAATTGTGTTTCATTGTGAAATAAAAATAATTACTTCAAATCTCCCGGGGTTATGTCTAACAGTAGTATTTGTTCTTGAATGTAATAATGTGTAAAGCATTTAAGATTCTAGTTTCCTTATTAAAATTATTTTAGAGGGTAATCACGTGCGCTGCTGAGTACTGATTGATACTGATCCATGGGGGGGGGAAGGGGGGGGGGGTGTATTTACTGATCTGTTGTTAAACGTCTTAATTGCTCCATACGCAGATTAGGAGTAGATTAATAGAGAGAGGTCCATGTAAACCGGTTCAACTTTTTAAGATAGATAGTTTTATAATATACACGAGATGTAAATAAATTCCTATTCTTGAAACCACGTGGTATAGCTGAAGAAGGGAGTTTAATAAACGAGTCACATTTGTTTAATAAACAAAAGATTGGTATTGGTTATGATACCATCTTACAGTAGCAACTTGGACATTCTAAACCTGAACCAAAATGTCCAGTTCCTCCAAATCGCAATACTAACCTTAATTACTAATTTAATTTGTATTGGGTGCTATTATATTTCACTTCTTTTGATTAGACCATAATGTTTAACTCAAAATGTTAACACTGCTCTATTTAATAACACTGACAACCATAACCAATACCAATTTGATTAATAAGAGGTCAGCCATTTGCCTTTCTAGCTAAAAGCAAATTTAGTTAATGAAATTAATAAAAAATAAATGAAATATTATTTGAAAACTGGAGATGCGGGTAAAACAATTGAGTTGACTATTAGCGTGAATATAACTTGAAGCAATAGTTAATAGATCTGTTGTATTCCTATAACTAAAATGTCGTCACTTTTGCAATCAGAAGGCTAGTATTTTATTTATAGAGATATGAGAGATCTATTATTCCGTGTGATTATTTAATGTTGACAAAAGTTGCGTCTAATGACCGTACTGCATGGACTTGTGAAGTTTTGTAGTGTTTTATGTACTTTGATGCAATTTTTTTTAGTTTCGTCGTAGTGGCATTTCTAAATGTCAAAGTGACTGGGACGTGATCACGCTGGACACTATGTAAGACTGACTGGTATATGACGAACGACGACGACGACTAATAAAGCCGTGTGAATAATGGGATGTAACTTTCCAAAAGACGCAGACACGACATACGTTTACAAGTCATTAATATTAAGGCCCTTTGCCTGCGGTGTCTGCAGTCTAAAGGTCCCTTGTGCTATTTGTGTAAATATTGAATACATGTCTTTTATCAAGTGTGTAATGTCAAAACATTCATAATGTAGGTCTGTTAATATATCGTCATAGTTGTATTGCTTTTTTCAAAGTGTATGAAGATGGTTAAAAGACAATTTTGTTATTATTTCGAATATTTAGTTATTAATTACATCTAAGCCAATACTGTATGGTATAAAACATTTACCATTAAAATCATAGTTATAATAATGAATGTGTTTAATTATATTATCAATCTGGCATAAAATAAATCCTAATTAATAAATATAACAAAGTGTAAGTAATAACAGTAACAAATAAGACGAAATCGTAAAAAAGGAAATATAAATGTGAAAGATTTCGCTCAGTTCTTCGGAAGCCGTTCTGGAACAAGTAAAAGTATAATTAGAATTTTTGTTGATAGATCACTTGCTAAATGTACACGATGTTGGCTAAGCCCAAGCGACACTAGATATTACACAACACATCAGTATTTCCTTCCAATCATGTGACCCTGACCTTTTTTCAGTTTACATGAAAAAGAGATCTTTGTTATTATCATAATTGTACGTACCGTCTAAGCAGCGACAATCCTGAAAAAGAAATACATTTTGTAGTAAAGACTTTGGCGTAGGCTAAACTTATGCCAAGAGTTATCGAGCTTATTATAAAGCCCATTCAGAAGATCAAGATGTACTATAGTTAAACCGCCGTAAGCTTGGCCCTCCTGATGGTTTGCGGGACGCGGGGCGGGTGATGCGCTCGGCTATACATGACACGATGTACTAACTCGATATCTTCAGATTTATTTGCTTGAGATTTAATCTACACACGATGTAATAAAAATCGAATTTATTTCCATGTATTATAATGTCAGTGTATTGTAAGTTTTTATGATTAATTGTAAAATCTAATACTGTAAAATAATTTTAATAAAATCACCTTATCTTCATCATGTAAATTATATTCAGATACAATTAAAAAATTAAGTGAAATAATAAATATTCTTTATTAGAACTTTAACAGTAGAACCTCTGTAAGCCGAACTTCAAGTTTTTAAATCTTTTTGTGACGCAGAGTCGGCAGATTATCCCTGTTGCAAAATAATACCGTGTGTAGCAGTCTTAAGAAAAATAACACGTACAACCATGCTTTCACGTCAGTCACTGCCGGCGGACAGCGACGCACTAGCTAATTGGTTGAATGCACCCCCGCCCCGCGTCCCCCAAACCATCAGGAGGGCCAAGCTTACGGCGGTTTAACTATACATCATGAACATACTATAGGTACCAGTAACAGTATTGTTGTTATAACCTTCATGAGTACATTAGTACACGAGGGGCTAGTCTGGCTATTGTGAGTTTCAAAAGAATCAAAGCAAAAATATTTCAAGTATTTGCACCGTTAAAAACGAAAGTATAGGAAACAATATTCGATGAATTTTGTTTTAGTGCGATTTTATTTTGCATTTTTAAATCTTTAACTAAAATATTTTTAGTACTATAAAATTTATCAAAAATAATGTGATCCAACTGCCAGGATCACTTAAGTATAAAAGAAACTTGGTTAGACAATAGTGCTAGAATACTTCTTTACTGGATTTTTTTCCTCTGAGCCTTTTTCTCAAGGTAGGTTGGGGTCGGCTTTAAGTCTAAAATGATACGGTTGAACTTCGATTTTTCGACTGCCATCAGACCTCCAACCCAAGTAGGCTATATCGAAGTTCTTGAATTTATGTAAAGGTATCGCATAAACACGCCACACTTGCAAAAAACAAGTGTACACATTCTATCGAAAAACTAACATTAAAGGGAGAAGTCTTCGCAACCGCCGACTTTGAATCAGCTTTCTTGACGGATGGGGGCGGAGAAGGGGCCTTGGCCGGGGGCATAGCATCTACAGCGCCACCTAAAAATAGATAAATAGATCAGCGACAATTTTAAAAATACATAGGTAGATCAGCACATAGACGGCTCTCGTCCGCTAAATGTTACAAATTTTCTGTTTTTTTAATAATAATATATTTTGGACATTGACACAACGCTATCTAGTTTAAAACTAAGCAGAGCTTGTACTATGCAAGCTGACTGATGAAGACTGATAGAATGCTTTTTTTTGTAAATACGCACATATTATACATAGAAAACACACAAACTCCAAAACAAATATTTGCAGATCATACAAATATTTGGTTCGAACCGGAATCGAACCCTAGACCTCAGCACTGCAGTTGCATACGCTACCACTGGACCACCGATGCAGTATACCTATGTCTTTGAAAAAAGTGTCACCGTCTTTCATGTGCCGCATTTATTAGCTCCTAAATTTTCACTCTTTAGAAGTAGAATATTTATTCTCAATTTACTTAAATAGGATGAACTTTGAGTGCAGCCATTAACAAAAAATGAAACCGATAAACAAAACGTGATATACACGAAGTCCCAAATAAGGTACCTTCTAAGTAATAAATCAGAAATAAGATTTAAACGACTGACCTGGTCCAACTTTGGCGCCTTCTTCGTCACACACTTTGTACAACTGAAATTAAATTACGTAATGTATGGCGTTAGTTTATCGTACTTGTAACATCTAGATTTAATAAATGGTAGTGAAGGATTTTTATTTGTCATTATAAATACTGTTACTATCATTATTTATAGTATATATTTTAGCCTGTATATACAATAACCCGGGTGTTAGAAAAGTACCGGAATAGCAGAATAATTCGCTAGGGATGTATTTTTTGGAAGTACGTTAAATCGGTACGGTACCTTCAAATTGACGGTCCATTTTTAAATGGGATTGCATATTTTTGAGCCCGGAATTGGAGAGGAAAAAATTACAATTGGATATGACCTTCAGTACGTCATCTCCAATCTCCAATTGTCACCCCCAGGCCTGCGCTTGTGGATGTCGGAGGTCATTCTGCGTCCGACGCCTGAGTCGTCTGCGGTACCTGGCCCGTTCCCGGGCCTAGCGGACTAGGAGAGTTCTCAATCTCTCCCTGTCCCGCTCCGCCGTCTCCTTAGCAGGTATAATTTGCTCACAGAAGGAGACACGCCTCAGCTCAACCTACACCGGCATTCTGCCAGCGTCTAGAGCGCTGTATCCACGGTCCGGTAGGTGACACTCTGACGTTGCTCCTTGTTGATCAGACACAGGTGATCGCCGAAACATCCTTTCCCGGTAATTACCTGCGTCAGCCGGTATGAGAGGGTCCCGTGATTCCTCTCGAGCCAATCCTCCATAACGGGTCTTACTGCCGCAATAGAGTCGTGCGGCATGTAAACTATCCTAAATTTTTAACTATCTAGTATCGTGTTATCCGTAAGCGATAAGACCGCCGATTGTTACGTCTACATATTTTTATCTCATCTTTTGTTATGTGATAATTAGTGCAAAACAATAAAGTTTAATTAAAACAAATAACGTATGATAAAAATACATAATAAATTTGCTAACCCTTCCATCATCACCAGTAGCAAATTTACCCGACAGTGGCAGCACCTCAGGTCCCCATTGCTTGATAAAGTGTCCAAGACGTGCGACTCGCTGCGCAGGAGTCGTTGTTGTATGTGATCCACCACAGTAACGGTTGCATAAATGTTTGTCAGTGTCTGATCTACATAAGCGTTAGAAAATGATTACTATAATTACATAAATAATCAAGTATTTGACGCCAAGTTCGTCACCTATTTGACGCACAGAATCCTCAAGTCTCGTTTAGATAGGCACAGTATATTTTTTTATGGATTTTTATTTTTTTATTTATGGAATAGGGGGCAAACGAGCAGACAGTTTACCTGAAGGTAAGTGACTACCACCGATGTTGCACATTGTGCCGACCCCAAATAAAACTTGTGAAAGCGCAGAGCAAATGATGATCTTGCTTTGTTTACGTTAATGTTTTATGTTAGTATAATCTGTGGTACCTGACTTTTTGTGGTTGTTTCGTTGCAGTCATTTGTTTGTCTATTTTTTCCCAATCATGCATATTTCGGTTTGATAAGCTAGTAGCTTGAGTCTTCCGTATAGTATCTATGAGAGTATGAAAGTCAAACTGATAAGAAGATTTCGTCCAAGGAAAGGTTTCTAGGAAGGCTATAACCTTAAAATAATAATAAAAATCGGATCCCAAACTAGGTAGAGCCTTTACCATGGTAACGAGACTGCTGCTAAACATACTTATATTTTTCTAAATAAATAGATATCATAGATAAATAACACCCAGACCCTGAACAAACGATCGCGCTCATCACCCAATGTTTGTACAAGGTGTGTAAGAGCCCACGACCACTGGCTTATTAGCCAGGACCACCAACTACTAGACCAAAAGGCCGGTCAGTTAAGAATAATTTGAAACAAAATTTAAAACTTTTTTTTCCTGAAATTAGTGGAAACTATGCAAATTTTAACAAATCAAGCAGCACTACACAGAAGAAGGTTAGAAACAAAATGTGTCAGTAAATGTTTAGGTTAATTAAAATTAATTATTAAGACTTTGTTTTTATATTTTAAGAACTCACCTAATTCATATGTTAGGTAAGGCTTCATTGACATACTAGGTTTTAGGGGTTTTGGTGGCATGGCTTCACCTGGTTCCATCGACATAAATGCTTTTGCATCGCACGAAATGCAGTTTACATCGCTGGTAAAAAAAATGCAAGATAAAAATGTTTATACAATTTCTTCATAAAGGTAGGTGGAGGTTTTGTGAAGAATGAACATGACCCAAGCAATTTGTATGGTACAAGAAATTAAAAAACGGCAATTATCAATACGCAGGACAACAGCACTGCAGATAGAAGGAAAACTTGACACAGACCCTATACCACCCCGTCTGGCCAACGTGGTGTAGTAGGCCAAAACCTCCTTTCTAAGGAGAGGCCTATGTATGGCTGTTGATGATGATGATGATGATGACGTATCAATCAGGTTTACTGTCAACATAATAACAACGGAAAACTACGTACTTCAATAATTTTTTCTTAGTGCCAGCAGCTTCGGTCTCACGGCGCATTGATATGATCTGTTTCAAGTTTTCTTGTAATTGCTTCAGTTTACTGTTGAAGAAGTCTCTTACGGGAGACAGTTCTACCTTGTCGAGTTTCGCCTCAATTTCTCGTTGAATATCATCCAATGCTTGTTGCCAAAGTGATTCCTGGAAAAATATAAGGACATCACAACAATAAATACATTTTCATTTTGAATGTAGAAATCAAAGATATTTCGTTACAGATGTCCGTGTAACATGACGTGACATGTAAATTAAATCTAACGGCTGGGACAGATCTTGCCTTCAGCCAGCCATAATGGGTTCTTTTGCAAAGAATTACAATGAAATATAAAACACATCGGGTCTACATCCAAGCTAAACCGATCTTATATTATTCCAAATCACGGAAGCATTACATTACATTTTTAGATATATTTAAACATGCCACAATGCCAAATGCACAAATAATTACCCACTATGCCACAGGGGCTAACATGCATTAGGAGAGAAATGGAAAGGGTTCATTTTAAAAATTCAAGTACAATCATGGTTCCTCGATACCTGAACATTCAGCTTGTCAAGAGCATGTTCTAAGCCACTCGACAAGTCATCGCATGCCATTTCAAATTGGTCGTGGGAAACTTTACGCGCCAACATTCGCAGGTCCGCTTTATCGGCTAAAGCTTCAACCATATCCTCACGGTCTAACTTTATGGCCTTTAGCAGTTCCATTTGCTCCAATAACGCCTGAAAATTAGGAAACATTTCTTTTGAACTTAGTTTAAAACAAATTCTAGCACACGAGGGATTGAAAATATTTTCGTTAATTTGAACTTTGTTCTCTACATGTAAGTTAAATTTCCACCTCAATATGATCGATGTTCTTCCGATTGAAGTAATTTTTCCATTACTACATAAAGATGTGGGTACCTTACCTTAGAAGTAAGTACTTGAAGCTGTTTTTTCGAGGCTGGGTATGGTATTATAAAAATGTATAGATTGATAATACATTTGAGTTTTATTGTTAGTGTGTATTATGGTCTTACGTTGAAATTATGTAGTCTCTCCTCTTTTTCTGAAGCTAAATGTGTTGAGGTTTCATAAACTTGATTAAGCTGAGTTTGCATATTTTGTACAGTTTCGTATAATCCCATCAAACCTGTAAATAAAGCAAAAGAATACTAGAAATACAAAAGTTACCTTACCTACACGCATACGTTCATTATTGACCGTAAAATTGTGGTCAATTTTGAGAACGTCAACCGTTTCAAATTGTGTTTCTTTTCCAACACAAGAAAGAAAGATTTATAACCGCCACGTGATTCATCGATGAGGTTTCGCACAGAGACACCCGGACTAACATCGAGCCTTCATTTTTGTCGTCAAACTCTCCCATTCACTAAATGATTTCGTCCAGAGGCTTCCGTCCGCCCGCGCTAAGCCTAGGTCCGGGGCATACCTTAGCTAGCGTTTCCCGAGGCTTTATTTCCCTTAAAATCTCTTTATACTTATTTCCTTAATTAAAAAAATCTCGTTTCGAATTTGATTTAGAAGCTCTTGTAAGTAGTAAGTGAAGAATTTTGAAATACCTTGTAGATCCTTAAGTAGTTCTGGAGTTATGCTTCCGGTGGCAGCACTCATGCTTGCGACTTGTTTAGTATAATGATCTACGTGATCGTGTAATGCATTCAGCTAAAATGGTAAATTTTGGATGACCTTAGTAGAAGTTTCAGTAATGTTATATTCAATACATGAAAAAAGTCAAAACTGATCTTAAATATACTGTAGAATTTGCCATATTTATTTTATGCACTATACTAGTAGAGATTTACTCGAGCGTGTCAAGGAATACCTTACACCCAGTTGAGTACCTCCACCATATATGAGCCTAACACATAACATAGAGAGGAGCGTCTAGGGTAGCCCATCAGATTCATTAAAAAAAAATCGATGCCCAGTAATACTCGAGCGTGTGTGATTAAGGCAACTTGAGTCAATTACATACACATTAGTGTGTATTTAAATAAATTTGATTATTTGAAAATGACATAAAGCAGTGGGAGGGTCACAAAGTTTCAAAAAAAACCCATGACATTTACATATTTTTTTAAGCAAATATTCAAGAAATCTTCTTTAAATGTCTACATAATTTTTCGTGCCTTTATTTGTCACATTTTATAAAAAATAAAAATATTTCTAAACGTCATATTTAAAATGCCCTCCAAAATTATTGTTAGATATTTAGCTAGTATGAGAGGAACATGAAGCTGAACCGTCTTTATAAAATCTAACACGGTCGGCTATTTCGATATGGCGATTTCTCGAAGTTGTATTTTCGATAATTCGCTACGAGCGATACATACGTCATACCTTTCAATGGAAGTATTTTTGTCGTCCAAATAACATATCTCCAAAATATCAGATGCACCTGATTTTTTTATCCATTTCCTCCCCTTACTTTTTTGAAAACCTGTAGAAGCCTTTCCCACCGCTGAAAGTGGATTCATTATAAAACTTTTATTTATTCTATTATCTTATCTTTCAAATAAAATAGGTCTCCATAACGCTCGAGTAAATCCACATTTAGCATCGTGGACTGAGTTAACTACTAGTTATTGTAAATAACAGTATAATATATTTTTTAGGAAACGTAACATATTTTCGAAGCATAATAGAGGAAAAACAAGACTACAAGAGTTAATGAACATCAATTATATTTTTTGAAAAAGACTCGATCGTTTTTTGTCTCTTATAACTATCATGTGACATTTGCAGGCCACAGTCTGTTTTAAATATAAATATGGAAAATAAATTTAAAGTATTGCAATATAGGTACGTACTTGATCTTGTAGGTTCCCGTGCGGGCCATGTAAGATATTAACGCACTGTTGCATTTGATCTTCTAAGTCCTTAAGACGATTGGTAAGAATCCTTAATTTTTCCATACTGGCAGCATCTGCCCAAGAAATATGGATGTAAGTTTTGTAAGTTATGGCATAACATAACCACAAAATCCGTAACACAAATTTGTAAAGAACTTAAGGCATCATTAGGTACAATCAGGGAAGGAATACAATAAAATGCGAGTAACAAACTACGATTGATTTTAGTTATCAAAGGGGTAAGTCCTGTGCATCTTAGGAGGGGGGAGGGGGGAAAGCATGTGGCAGCCACCGCGTTGCACCGCAGCCAGGTCCAGGTCAGTCGTGTATCTTGCTCTAACGCATTAAGTAACTTCACTGCTTTGTTCTAACGTTTGTTTACATTTGTTGTTTTATATGCGTTTCTCAAGATACTGAGACGAAACCCCGTATTAAAAAGGCAGGCCAGAAAAATTGGTTGAATATTAAACATAATTCTAGAAGTGTCTATTTATTAATAGTGTTCATATAACTAGTACGGAGTTGTTACCAAGAGCGTCATAATATGTATTTTACTTCTTTGCAACTTTAGTATTTAAAACATTCACGATAAACTTTCGGAAATAGATGTATGAATTAAATAAATTGAGTTTTATTGGTACCTACTTGTTTGTAGCTCAATAATGCACGCAAACAGTAGATACATAATATGTACATATTTGTATGCGTACGTACGTACGTAGTACATTTGTTTGCGAGTGTACCTGCGCAACATTTGGTTAGCAGCCAACTACGTTACTCATAACACAATGGATCTCCCAAACCAAACCCCAAAGCTATGATGAACATACTAGAGTTCCAACTATATGAGGCCTTTAAAATCCTAACCGACCAAGAAACTTAACTATCAAATGGGGCTGGATTGTCAATCCTACAATGTAAAAATGGTAAAAACGAATTGAAGGGTTACTTTTACATAATAGCTTTTAAAATGTTCATCTTTGGTTTTAAAAAGGAGGGAGCACATGCTTACCCATTTCTGAAGCACCAGTAGTCGAGGGCACACCTCCTGCACCAATTGGGGAATCTTTAGCCCGTCGAGCTCCACCCCTTCTTTCATCTGACTGAGAAGGTGGATCTGTTGGCAAAAGTATATTGAAGCAAAATCAGCATTCAAAACCTATGTCATACTAGCTTTATAAGTAACATAAACATATAAATTTTTAGTGACTAACCTAACATATTTTCACAGAGCACGGGACCCAACACAATATTTCTGGCTCTGTGTAAAACATGAAAATACAATGTGTAAAAAACGAACTAGATTTTATTACTCAGAACTTTATCTAGCACTACGGATTAATAATATAGTGAGATAATAATATAAATATACACTAACCAACTTTTACATTCAAAACCTTCATAGCACCATAGAACGTGTCAGACAGGTGATCCTGTATTCCTCTAAGTGTTTCTACATAATTCTCAAGATCTTTGAACTCTGCCTTAGTCGTATAATCCATGCCAGCCTCGGGTACCGAATTGGAGTAGGGTAAGACTCCCGAAGGGTCCGTGATTCCGGCAGGAACTTGCATTGACTGCGCAGCGCCGCCCGCCGCAGTTAAAGTAGAAGGCACACTCTCTTCCCCAGCAAGTAAAGCCACAGATTTAGGTTGTGCAGTACTTATTGTAGACTTAGCACCAAACGTTGAAGGACGTGTAGAACTTTTTGTGGCATTTTGAGGAGTCCTACAAATCATGAGATGCAATTAATACTACCACAAATTATGCAGCATTTCCTAATATTTTTGCAATAATTTTTGACGGAATCTTAACTAGTGTTACGTTTAAAAAATTATGTCTAGATTAATTTAGTAATAGGTATAAATTATATAATTATAGTATCAAGCGTCTATTGTAAACGACACCACTGAGCCACACCACAGGTGTGGCTCAAATTTGAAGTGTCTGTTTGTAATGTCAAAATAATAGGTATTTTTCGCATCATTTGCACGATACGTATGCCTAAAAATCCGTTATATATTTTTTGTGTATCTATCTATCTATCTATCTATCTGTCTGTCTATCTGTTTCTTCCGGGTAATCTTCAAAACGGCTGGACCGATATTGATAATATCTTATTACCAGGTAGCTGTCTTTATAAGGAGTAATTTAGGCTATTTTTTCCTTCGGAAAAACCCTATAAAATTTTGCCCGGTCCAGGAAATGAACCTACTAAGGCAGCGCTTTTCAGATTCCACGCGAACGAAGTCGTAGGAACCAGCTGGTTTACAATATTTTTTGTAACGACACCGCTGCTGACCAGTGAATGATGTATAACATGAAATAAAACAATTCGTTACGTGTTAATGTTTAATGAAAATTTTGAAATGAACTCAACCAGAGTTTACAAGGGATTCGTAAAACATATTTATTGTATGCATTATAACAAAAAAAAACTAGATTAATTTAAAAAACTTGATCCGATATTATCAAATTCCATCTGCTATCTTTAAAGCAACTTCTGAAAAGCCTTTTTAAAATAATTATGGTCGTGATCTTACGAATGAAAAATAATTGAAATCGATGAATAAATGCATAAGTTTTATGTTAGAACTTCATAACGGTGGTGTCGTTTATAATACTCGAGGGATGAAGGTCTAAAAATCGTTAAATAATGGTCTAATATTTGTAGTGTGGGCTTTATAATTAAGATATGGATGCTATAAACTTTTTGATTAATTATGTTGTAATTATGTATAAGAGGGTGGGGGGAGGGGGTGGTGTGAAAGGGGGTGTTTTAACGGGGCCTCAATTCTGCTCTTTTATGTTAACGCCAAGCCACTGTCATTCCATTGACATGCTATTGAGATGCCATTGAGACGGCATTGACATCGGTCAAAATATCAGTATTGTACTAACTTAAATTCACAGTATCTATAGACTGTCGATATAGTAATATAGGTCATCAATGATGATATCAACAACATTGCTATACCTGGCAAATTAAATATATAATTTTCTTACAAATTTAAAATGTACCGTTTACCAAACTCGATAACGAACAAAAAATATCGAAAATAGCAGAATTGAGGCCCATGTCTGTTAGTGTAGTGGTTAGTGACCCTGACTGCTAAGGTCGTGCCGGAGGTCGTGAGTTCGATGCCCAACCCAGGACGAATATTGTGTGATGAACACGATTATTTATTCTGTGTCTGGGTGTCATTTATCTATAATATAATACTACATATACTAAATAATATACTATATATTTAGAAATATATAAATATGTTTATCAGAAGTCTGGTTATCATAGTACTGACTCTGCCTAGTTTGGGCTCACATAGCCGTGTGTGAAATGTGTCAAGTTATTAATATTATAATTATAGGGTAGGTAATCAGAACATCTTCACAGTTCATTACAAATCTTCATAGCTTTCGTTGGGAATCTTTGAACCTGCTACTAACAGTGATTATTTTTTAAGCATTAGATACTTGGCAATAGGGAATATGCACGTGACACCGAAATGGACAAAATATTTTTATTTGTAATTTTTGTTGCTAAAAAAAGATACCCATACAATTATTTTTGGAATTTATTATAATTTAATAGTGAAATTTAATCATCAAAAATTGGCTTTTTTAAGATTCCCTAGCAAATTTCAAAAACGCAACGCTATTGGTTGAATAAAACGTGACGTCAACCTACACTGTCAAGAGTGTCAACAAGCTGTGTGTATTTGTAATATTTGGTTTCTGGTGATTTTTTGTTTCATTTTAAGTTAATAACTAATACGTTTTCAGTGATAAATTATTAAATTCCCGTGTAGAAAGACTCAACACAATGACTGAATATTTAAAATTGCACTTTGTCAGGTGCAGTTTTAATATTATTTGGGCACAAAGGAACGGCACAATATTTAAAATAAGTTTTTATTGGCTTTTCCATGGTAATAAGTTAATTTTTATCACTCACTTTTTTAACTTTCACAAACTTTGTGAACTTCACTCCGTTGTTGACATCGAATTCGTCTGAAAGTGGAATCTGACGTCACAAAAAAAGCGCGCCAAAATGGACGTGTTCAAATAGGGAATATGCATGTATTTTTTTTATTTTTTTAAACGATTCTACTAGTTATTACATTACCAAAAATAAATATAACACATCCGAAATATAAACCGTTAAGCAAAAAAAAATTTATTAATATCACTATCATTTTGGGGCAATTTGAACACGTCCATTATGGCGCGCTTTTTTTGTGACGTCAGATTACACTTTCAGACGAATTCGATGTCAACAACGGAGTGAAGTTCACAAAGTTTGTGAAAGTTAAAAAAGTGAGTGATATAAATTAACTTATTACCATGGAAAAGCCAATAAAAACTCATTATAAATATTGTGCCGTTCCTTTGTGCCAAAATAATATCAAAACTGCACCTGACAAAGTATATTCAGTCATTGTGTTGAGTCTTTCTACACGGGAATTTAATAATTTAACACTGAAAACGTATTAGTTATTAACTTAAAATTAAACAAATAATCACCAGAAACCAAATATTATAAATACAAACAACTTGTTGACACTCTTGACAGTGTAGGTTGACGTCACGTTTTATTCAACCAATAGCGTTGCGTTTTAGAAATTTGCGAGGGAATCTTAAAAAAGCTAATTTTTGATGATTAAATTTCACTATTAAATTAAAATAAATTTCAAAAATAATTGTATGGGTATCTTTTTTTAGCAATAAAAATTACAAATAAAAATATTTTGTCCATTTTGGTGTCACGTGCATATTCCCTATTGCCCCAAAATGATGGTGATTTTAATAAAAAAATTTTTGCTTAACGGTTTATATTTCGGATGTGTTATATTTATTTTTGGTAATGTAATAACTAGTACAATCGTTTAAAAAAATAAAAAAAATACTTGCATATTCCCTATTGGTAGTAGATATATTTTGGTGAGCTGGTAGCAATGTTAGCTAGAATACGGCACAGCCGAAAGCTGTTAAAATGGGTTCCATTCTAATAGTGAAGTCCTCTTCACTATTAAGCAAGCTCTCTACCTTGCTTAATTTTTTTAAGTATGTAGGTGTCAAACGAAAATATCGGTTACCTGATGGTAAGTGATTCCCAATACTTTTTTTTTTAAATATATAAGTATGGAAGGTATTAAGATAGTGTTGACATAAATAGCATTGTGAGTATTTTTAGTTACCTAATAGTTAAAAATAATTGGGTTGGCTCCCCTACATGATTGTACTTTGTATGTACTTTTTTGTGGTGAAGATGTACTTCAGCTTTTAGCCATTATATTGTATTTATGGTCTACCAGTCATTTTCAATTGATAACATATTATAAACGGGATGTTTACCCTGATTATTTTCGAACTATCGGAAACCCTTTCCCGAAAATAAACATGGCAAATTTCGGTTTATAGTAACTTATCAAGTAATCATATTATGGTGAAAAGCCGAATAATGGGAATAAATATGATACGTTTTTTCCATTTCTTTTTTTTATTGATTGTGATATGTAGTTTTATTAAAACTGTAAAACTTTGTAGCCATAAATACAATTTCCTTTTCTTTTAAATTTTTGTTACTAACTTGCTGTAAGACGCCTATTTTTCTAAAGAGTTAGGCACTCAATACTGAAATTAAATAGCTAGTCGATTAGCCTGGCTCGTACGAATCGAGAAATACATGTATGGAAATTTGATCACAAGTGATTTACATATTGAGTTGGGATGTCTGTCCGACGAGATCTTGCACCAATGAGCTTAGCTTGGCGACACCTTGCTCGGTGGCCTCCAGCCGGGATGAAACGTTTAAAGATGTCCACATTTCAGTGATAGCCTTCAAGTTTGTTTGCGACCTGTAGTATGAACGAAAGCATATGTATACTTATAGCCAAAGTGGAATTGACGCAATAGAGATATTTAATCATGAATTTATTCGGCTTCGGTCGAATGAATGTAGAATTTATCAATTACATAATCCAGGAATCTATCGGACCCAATAATTTGTATAAAACATATCTATGTTCATTTATGTATCAATGTAAATTTCATGATAATCGGCTGAGTAGTTAAAGCTTTAAAGATAAACAAACCAATAAACTTACTTTCACATTTATAATTTAAAAGTAAGGATTAAAAAGATTATAGATTGAAGAGATTACCTTACCAAGATTGTTAACCAGTAACATACCAGTGAGGATTATATTTTATAACTTCTATTATTGAAAACATTTCAAATTTTAGCTTTGGTAACTCAATTACAAAAAAAGCATTTGTGCTAATTAATTTAAAAAAAACCTTGTTCGCCCAATTAGGACGTATGTAATAACTATTGGTAATAAGTGTACCTGACTTCTTCTATAATTTCCTCATTCTTAGGAATACTGCCATAGACGCGGTTCTTCAAGTCTTGTACAACTGTTTCTAGCACATTAAACTTGCTGAGGGTGACAAGACAAAGCTTTTCACTAGACGTCAACGCTCCAATCCGTTGTCCTGATGCGGCCGATCCAACTCCCACGACTTCCCCGCCTTCCACGCCTTCCTTGGCTTCTTCGTCCCCTTCGGCCCCTTCAGCCCCTTCTGGTAACTCCCCTTCTGGTAATTCTCCTTCGGGCACTGCCGCCTTGGACTTAGCAGTCACCACCGATTTGGACTTTGCTACTTTAGCAGCTGAGGGTTCTGCTTTAGGTGGCTTTTTCTGCCTCTTCAGTATCTTTGGTACTACGAATTATAACTGTCATATATCAATATTTTATATATTTTGTTAGTGTTTTGATATGGTACTCTTTGACTATATTATATTTAAGTAATGTTACTGTTACTTTGTCTAAATTTACTTAATGCTACAACTAAATAAGAATTACATAATTAATTAAATATTGTAAAGGAATTTACTTTACGGTAATATATTCTTCCTATTGTAAGAGTGAAGAAGGTAGGCAGTAATAAACTTCTTAAATTATGACTTTTCGTCTGAACAAATATTTTCACTAAGCACATAAAAGATCAAATCTATCAAATCAAAATGTTATACGATAAAAAATGTTTTTTTTTTCTGAAAATGTTATATTGAAAATCAGATATTCTATTAGGTCATTCCACTGTGACAGACAGCAAAAAATCACTGGTTGATGTAGAAAATCGAACTAGAATTTAAATATCATTTGTCAATTAAATACTAGGTAGAATTTTTGTTGATGGAGAAAAAAATTAGGGTATTTCTTATAAACAAACAAATAATGTAATAGAATTAATAGAAACTGATATTTCGAGTATGGATATAGTGATGTAGATTCTGTACTATATTTTAAAATATCAGAAACATTTAACTTTATCATTCGTATGCCAAACAAAAGTAAGAATATAAAGAATAATATAAAATAATTTGGCTTAATGAACGCCTAAGTCTTATGATATATAAAAGTTATAAGCTCACCTCCCGTGTCCTTTTGTATTCTGTCAACTGAAAATGTAGGTAAATAATTAATAAATATTTAAAACGTATTAGAAGATATAAAACAAGATACATTTTTCACAAGTAGAATGTTAAAATCAGCAACAATTTTTGTTCTGTGTCTTGTAATATAAAAACAATAATAAAAACCATTTACACTTAATTAAATAAATGTAATCGAATTAATATTATGCTTACCTACTAACATAGTCTCTGGATTTTCTGATGGCTCTGTGAATAATAAATATATTACTAAAATGGAAAGAAATCATAAACTTGAAGAAACAAAAATAAATTATTTCCTTTTTGTTAAAGATAAGTGAACACGGGGATCGACTTCTGTTGTGTAAATGCATTTTAAAATGGATTTAAGATCACCAACGGACATAATAATATAGTTTAAATGGCGAGTAATTACACTATGTTATCCCTATATGTACAAATATATGTTGCCTTATATCACATATTTCCCCCCTCCACGGGAAATTTCAAACTCCATTTGAACTATCTTTTATCTTTAGCATAGTCCTAAAGTGGATCGTTCGTATGTAGTCTCTCTAGACTAGAAATGTCTGAGGCACAAACTTTTCCCCTGTTCCAACATTCTTCGTCCATAAAACTTCAATAAACTAATAAGAATACATAAAAGTATTTTTCTTTTAGTTATACATTTAAGAATGCACTTGATCGGTTATACATTCTTCTATTGTCCGTTTATTCTAAGTCTTTAAAGCCGACAGTGATTTAGAATCAGCACACCAGATGCATTAAAGTGTCTGAACTGAAGAAGGTTACTTACGAGTTGCGCCATCCGGCTGAAACAAAATATCATCATTTGTGAATTAAAAAATTACAACCTTAGACCCATTCGAATGACGTTTTTCTACCAGTGCTACAAACCAATTTCAATTGGCAAGTTACTGTGTTGTGTTGACAGTTTAAATTCAAACAGCTATTCAAGTTTCTAAAGAAACCTTATTAAATGAATAATTTTTGACCAAGAACAAAATTTAGCCAACCCTTGACCTAATTCATCCAGCAAGCGTAAGTCAGCTATAGTTGTCGAGTCAGAGAAGGCAGCGCTGTCGTCTGTGGCTAGTCACGAGATTAAAAAGCCAGTTCCACGTTTAGCCGAACTGACCGGTAACCTCTTGGGGTTGGTTACCAGTCGATCCGGCTAAATTAGGGAGTAATTCTCATCTCCGATATTTATTTTCTGTCTCTCAGGAACAGTCACAGTCTAAATGAAAAAAGTCTTTCTTGTACCTCTGATATTGTGCTCGCAAAATACTCGTATAATGATAATCAATGAACAAACAAATTCACATTCGTTTGCAGTTTGCACATGAGTGGATTCAGTCTCTTGTTATTTGCCAGCCACATTTTCACATTTCTTGGTACTACAACCCACTGCAAGGACCAGAGATCGCAGCCAGGATCCTTAGATTACACTTAAAGTTATGCCACGGAAGTAACATAGCAGTCAGTAATGTAAGCTAATAATCTGATGCCTGTCTTAGAAATTATGATGCTAAAATTTAAAGTTACCTGTACAATAAATTCATTAATTTTTATAGTTTCACCGGTTTCCAACTGCCTTCCAACAGGAAGCCCTGCTGCAGCACCTCTTAGTTCAACATTTTTGTCCAAGATCCGCATCTGCTGGGCTAGGCAATGCAGTACTGTTTGGAGCATGCAGAAGTCCACCACACCCAGCTTGATATCAAGACGACATTATTAAAATACTGAAACAGCACTGTAGAAAAACTTATCTAAGCTAATCTATGTTCCTTTCATATACATGTTGTAGTGAAATAAATGATCTACGGTATGTTAGTTACAAGTGTAATGTATGGTAGTGTTACGATAATATAGGAGCCTTTTACCTCTGGTGTGCCGATTGCCAGATCAATCATTTCAGCAACATTTATCAGCACAGCTTCAGCTGGAAGTCAGATTATTACTTAGTAAAATATTAGATTGAACCTCAAATGTAAGATATCATGAGTAAAACGTATGGAACTAGAGTTGATATTTACTATCCATATTTCTCTTTTGAGATCACTTCGCTTTAAAAATTAAATATTGCAATACTATTGAAACAAAAATTACAATATCATTAAACTGGTGCTAATAAACAAATCAAAATAAATGATTGTTTAGAAAAAACGGTAAACATTAAACAAAATACAGTTCATATATTATTACTTAAAAACGTTTTCAACTTTCGTTGACTAACAATATACCATAGAGTAGTATTAGTATATATTTATGAAAATATGACCAGGTTCATCACATTTTAATAATATCCGTCCTTATCATAGACTTTTTTACTAGAGCTTAATAGACAAAAAGTCTTTTGTCCCTTTATTGCCACGAAACCAGTGTTACAGACGTGAGTTTTAGTGTAGCGACATTGATATTATAGGAATATCGATATCATGAAATCGGCAATACGAATATCAGTGCGAATCTGTAGATTGTTGTTTGTGTATGTTTTGCTAAGGTTACATACGTTTAATTTTTACAATGAATATATATTAATTTAAATATAATATTTTTTACAAAAAAGATATAATAGAATATAAGTATTAATATAATAATTAATATAATAGAATAATTTAACGTATTCTAATTTTCTAGCGTCAAATAGATTTTATGTTAACTAATTACACATGCTAAGGCTGTTTTTTCTCGTGTGTCAAAAGTCGGACATTTGCTTTTGTCCATACAAACCCAATACTTTGTATAATTATCATTAAACTTTTAACTTTTCAAATCGGTTTCAGGATTTATAACTGGTTCGTATTATATTTTAAACAACTTTAAGTAATGTTATTAAGAAATGTATATGGCAGAATAGCGAGCCCCATGCTCTTAAAAACGGTGACATCTGACAACGGCTATGCTGATGTCAGTAACGTTCACATTTTACTTTTATACAACACGTCCTAGATATGTCCAGCTATCCTGTGATCCGAAGCCAGTAGTTATCAAATTCAGTGGCCGGATTCCTCTCCTTACTACAACAATCTATACAAATAAATAAAATTGAAGTGTCTGTTTGTAATGTCAAAATAATAAGATTTTTTTTCATGCTTAAACCTAAAGACCAGTTTAAATATTTTTTGTCTTTCTGTTTGTTCCGGGTTATCTTCAAAACAGCTGGACCGGACCGACTTTAATAATATTTTAATACCAGGTAGCTGTTTATATAAGGTGTAACTTAGGCTATTTTCTCTCTCAGAAAAAACCTATAAAATTTCGCACGGTCTGGGAATCGAACCCAATAAGACAGCGTTTTTCAAATTCCAACGAAGACAACGAAGATTCGAACGAAGTCGCGGGCACCACCTAGTTTTTAATAAATTATACAATATTATGCTGGCTTTTATTAACAGAATTAGTATTTCAATGCAATTAGAGAATTGCCGAAGGCTACAAATACCTTGTGATTTACAGATTTAGAGTAATAAAATCTGTTCACAATGACACAAAATTCTGTTGTCATAAATATAGGAGTAACATACCTACGTTATACAAATCCGGCAAACTGAGGACCTCCGCTTACACAATGAAATTTAGAAAAATAGTGTGTCTAGCTGCTTATCTCACAGAACATATAAAATGATTGACTCATCGATAAATTAGGTTTTGTATAAATTTGTCAATCCCTATGTCAACGCGATCATTTTCAATTTTTTAAACACAATTTTTTTAAATATTACGATAGGTATCTTTAAAGATAGTTTTTTCTGCAAGTATTAATTGTGGTATTAAGTAATGTTGTGTTTTAAATATGTATTACATTTGATACGGAAAGATTACTGTAAGAAAACCTGTAGGTATGTAAAGGAGGTTGGCAATATTGCGAGAAGACTTACCAGAAGCTTGTCCATCCGTCTGAAAATTGTAAAGGCATTATAAGTCACGCAGTTTTAAGACGCGCAGGATACATCATCATCATTAACAGCTCTTAATAGTCCACTGCTGGACATAAGCCTCTCCTTAGAACATGGGAGTACCTACACTTACTTACACCCGTTTTTGTACGTGACGAAAAATTCAAAACATTTCGTGAAGTACAGTTCCATTGGAACACCGAAATTTCGTTTTGGTAGAATAAAATTATGAAGACACAATAATTTTGGTGTTCTGTATGAAAAAAAATAGAGCTAAAATTGAGCAAACAAAGGAAACATTCCGTGACGCAATATTCAATTGAAGCCCCCCTCCATTCGTTGTATTTCTTACTATACATACTGAATTAGGCAGTACTGCTAGTCTGGTGGCCGGGTGCATTGACGATGGCTCTGGAAAAGACGGCGGCCCTTTTATCCTCCATCGTGGTCGCTTTATTCCTCGTACCGGTTCTTGCTCATATGAAGTATCTGGGCCTGATCCGTGACGGGAGGTGGCTCTTCAACGAGCATAGCTTGCTCCAAAGCTGGTTGGCGCTGCGCCTGCACTTGGGTGGCTTTTGCCCGATTTGGGTGAACGCAGTTTCGCGACAAGACAGCTGTAGGCGAGAAGTTTTCCGGTTAATGGCACTATACGATGCACCGGTGTATGCAGTGGCTCTGAACGCCTAGTAGCAGTCGGCCCCCTCCCGAAGAGATACGCAAGTGCAGTGTGGAAACGGCTCGGCACACGCTGGTTATTTGTTCGGCTTGGGTGTCGCAGCGTCGGATAGTCATTGCAGTCATCTCTCTCAATGACAGCAATGACGACCCGATACTTTCTACCATACACTCCATGGCCGGTAGCGACAGATGTTTTAGCGCAGTCGCATTCTTCTGCGCAGACATCATCTGCGCAGAAGGATGCGACTGCGCAGAAGGATGAGGAGCAGGAGGACATCATCTCGCAGGAGAGGGCTCAGGAGGACAACCTCCACTCGGATCCAATTCGGTGCCGGCCAATCGAGTAGTAGAGGCGCGCTTACCAGAGCCTCATGCCGCCCTGAGAGTAGCGGGACGCGTGTTTCCTTCCATCTGCTATAGTGGCCAGCCGCGAAGAGACGATATCCGCCTGTGCCCGAAGGTGGTACCCGCGCTATAGCGGGCAGATGGTGGGGTGATGGTTCGAAGGAGTTTCCAGACGTAAAAAGGCAGTACTGCTAGTACAATTAAAACAAAACCAATAATTTTCGTTTTACTAAGTGAAAAGCGAAACGTACACAACCCTTTTCAATGTAGGTATTTAAATCCCACTTGCCAGACTGGGAACAATTAAAGTATTACTGCGATTTTGAACTGCAGACTTAAATTCCATACATAAAGAGATTAAAGGGTGCCATTATCACCAAAGGGTGCCATTGGCAAAAAGATATTCGGCATTACAATAGGAAACGTCATCGTCAGAGTTGGGTCACTGTGTTAAATACAGCCATTATTACCAAATGATCGACTTTTGGAAGTGTGACCTTTGGATGTTATAAATCGGTGCAACACCAATAATATAAAAACAAAGTAATTTTTAAATTACTTGCAACGTTTTTGGACCTACACTGATATTGTTAAAACTCGTACGTGCCTTGACGTAGTTAAGTAAATTTAAAAAAAATGGCGTGACGGGTCTATGAACCCACGTCGGGCCGGGGTCTAGACGTTTGATATAGTGTCGGAAAAACTCTTGTTACACATGTTTAGGTTTCGCTCCCATCTGCTCAAAGATCCAAAAAAATGCACAAACTTAACGCCTGAACGTTTTGGTCAAATTATCAAAAAATAATATTAATAATCCAGTTATAATCAGAATGGAAAGGTCTTTAAGTACTTTACGCAGAGCATAAACTTGGCAACAATGATAGAAAACTGATTCTCGGTATCTACATGATGAGAGTGCATAGGAAGAGGGTTCTGGGAGCACAAAATAAATTGATAAACGAAATTTTAAGCAGGTTTTGCTAAAATCCTGGCGGGTACCGTTATTATATTATGTATAGATAGGTTTTTATCTATCTAACCCATGTTTTCATTGATATCAGCGAGAAAAGAGAAAGGGGACGAGGGATCGCTGACGGTGCGTCGCGCTTAGAACAATAATTACTTTTGAAAGTTCTAGATTTTTGGCAATTTGTAAGCCCTATTTCAGCATATTTGCCTACCAACGTAAATGGGCACGTACAATTTATATTTTTTATTAGAATTTGGTCTATTTTTTTTAGTTAGTCTATTGAAGTGAAAATTCTTTAGCACCGCTGTGATTTAAAAATTCGATGAAACGAAAAAGCTACAGTAAAAAAAGACAAACATATTCCTAAATAGGATTTAGCCGGCGAGAGAATGAGATAGATTTAAAAGTAAACAGTGTTTTCTGTAATCTTCGTCTCCACTATGCTATCACGTGTCTTTGCGCCTGCGTTCAACGAAACCTTCAGAAAATGTGTCATAAACAACGTGGTGTATCATTCAATATTTTTGCATTTTTGTATTAAAATTCGTTGGTAAATTAATTTATGTTAATTATTTAATACATCACACATACAATAATACTAATATTTATCTCATTCTCTTGTAGGCTACTTTTCTGAAGTTTAACTTATGCCGTGTGTGAATTGCACACACACACTTTTTTTTTAGTTATTATTGTATCAATAACAAGGTTCGCATTTATCTACAATGTAATGGAATAATGAAGAGATACTATAGCCGAATAATTTTTATACAAATTTAATTACTATATTATAGGTATATTAGTGTCGTGTAAAATGTCGAACTAGATTGCTATGTTTATATGTTGTATACCGCGTAAAAGCAAAACTGTTATAACTAGTTCATTGTAACAAAAATTTATTTTCTAATGGCTAATTAGCAGTTATTAAAAAGTTGTTTCTTTTTTGCTACTAATTTGTTGTACCTACAGTTTTATTCAATAAAATTTGAATCTGAAATTGCAATTTGTATAAGCTTATTAACGCATAGAAACAAATGTTAGAAGCCTAATAAGGATAGATTATTTAAATTTAACAACTAGGTTCAAACTTATAGATTCATGACACGTCTAAGACAACCAGAAGGTACAAAGCCACTATCTCTTGATACCACCATTGTAATTATCAATACTGATATTATAAAGCTTCTCTATTAACATTAGAAATCTAATGAGTTAGTTTGTTTAACGCGCAAAACTCAGGATGTGGGATGGAATTCTTTTAATGTTGGATAGCCCATTTATCGAGGAAGTCTATGGGCTATATAACATCAGGTCACGACCAATAAGAGTCCAACATGAATGAAAAATATTACAAAAGTGTGGAAAATTTATTCCTTTAGAGAGACGCATTTCTTGTTTACGGTGCCTAATATGTGTACCACTTTGTATTTTCCCTATTAACAATGTCTAAAGTCTACGCTTTCTAAATGCAGACTATGGAGTGTAGAGACAAGGCGAATCATCTCATATGGGGGAAAGTTGAAAAAGTCACCAGCTGTATACTGAAAATAGAGGTCGCTGGCGTAAGAAAAACTAATACTCGTATATGAACATAGCTGTTGTACACGAAGTGAGGTCTGCTGAATTAAAATATTATTATACTTTTATTGTCTGAACGTCATTATATGTTTATTTATTTCGCAGTCTAGTACTCTACTAGTGCTCTAGTACTCTTTGTCTAATTATTATTTAAGCCAATATAATTTGTTCCTAGGCTACCGCAGCGCCACCTTTAATGCTTTTACGGACACTTTTCATATACAGATATGGTTCTCCTTGCCTCTACCCTCCATAATTAATCAAAGTACAAACGATGTAAGTGGTATCTGTGCCGCTTAGCGGGCTTATTATCAGAGTTGCCAATGAAAGAAATGAAATAAAATCTTTGGAAGGCGAACATCATAATGAAAGTCTGAAGTATATAAAATAAGTATTTTATTGAATCTCTCAAAATCATACATATGATACAAAATTGATAATAAATAAATTAATAAAAAAAATTAAAGTACAAAAAAAAGGAAAAAAATATCAACAAACGATTACAAAATAAACAACAAATTAAAATAAAAACGTATTGTGGTAAATAATAAACCAAGGTGCACATGAGTTCATGATGTCTATGACGTCGGAAAAAAAAGTTAAAAAAACGCCTGAACAGGATTTTGAAGATTAGGTAAAAAGTTGTTTTGAACAATATTAAGACACATTTTGGGCCTACTTAGAGATTCCTAAATCATTTCAAAATATAGAATGATTTAGCTTTATTTTTTAATTTGTTTCCTCGTTGAATGTAGAGTGTACTTTGTATATCATAGTATTAAGGTTTACGACCTTAGCCATTAGCGCCAAATATATACCGTTTTAAGACCAGCAGAAAATTGAATCTACAGTTTTTTCCTTCTTTCTGCTAATAACAGGTCAAGTTGCAAAAAACTGTGCATTATTAAATAAACAATGAGTACTAATATATCAATAATATAGAAAAGCGTCACTGCGATTAACGCAGTGGTTTATTTTAGACATATCCGGAGTCCGGAGTGTTCTACAGTCAGTTACCTAATTTTTATAAGCGTTCTTTCTGTTCCTTGTGTCCCTCGATTTATTTTTACCTTTGCGTTTTTTATAAAAAAAAAAAGAATAAGTTACTTCTTTGGGGGCAGAACATCTGTAACAAATAAAGATACAAGCCAATAAAGTAAATCTGAATATAATCAATCTTTTCTACTCTAGTTAAAACACTAAGCATGGGACAAATGACATTCGATGAACTTAGCATAGATAATTATAAATGGTCTTAGGGCCTCGAAAGAGTTTCATCACAATTATATCTGCATTCATCTAAGCATGTAGTAATTTCACTTACCGCCAAGACAGCGACAGTCCTGAAAAATATTTTTAATTTAGTTATTGTATGAATTTAAATGTTTCAATTTCGATGTTGAAATCGGTTAATCAACGTTTAATTATTTCTAATTGAATTACGTATGAATGACTTACTGGAGTTAAGCTTGGTTTTGCTGCTTGTCTATCTTTCTTGGCTACAGGCTTTGGAGTGCAAGGAGCATTTATTGCCCCACCTGCCAAACATTCAAACATAAAATAATCTTGTTTAGATTTGGAAAAGCTGTAACAACAACACTATACAATATAAAATTTAGAGATGATTATGATTGTAATGAATATTTTATTAATTCAAATCTATTTTGTGAATATTTTATAGCAACTATTTTCGTTGATACGCCGAATCTGGCTGGTATGAATATGGATTTATTACCTGGGCCAACAGAAGCGTCTTCGACACCGCTAACTTTATATATCTGAAAAGTACAAATTTAATTAGAACGTATTCTTGAAATTAGTTTGTCTTTCTGTAGCTTTTTTTTTACATTTTTTAGTGTTGAAAATCAAATGTTCACATTGAAAAGAGACCAATTTTTAGAAATTCAAAATTTTCTTTTTTTATTATAATACTCTTTTAGTTTGTGTATTAGTATTCAGAACTCATTCACTTAGGTTAGTACTCACCTTGCCATCATCACCAGTTGCAAAACCAGACGTTAGTGGTAATACCTCTGGTCCCCATTGCTTGACAAAATGTCCGAGCCGTGCGACTCGCTGCGCAGGAGTCGTCGTAGTATGAGACCCACCACAATAACGGTTGCATAAATGTTTGTCGGTTTCCGATCTAAATAGAATATTTGTAAAAGATTATTAGTAAAGTAACTATCATCTTAATTCTAGTTTATTATTCCAGTCCACATATTAATATATGACATACATAATTTCTTTAAGTAAATTTTGTTTTTTAATCAAACAAAACAATCTATCAATTATTAGACAGCATATGAATATAAAATAAGTTCATTTGTCCGAAAAATAGTTTATGAAGTGTCAGCAATATCGGTTTGCTTTTTGTAGCCGAAGCTTCAAAGATATTTAAATATTATAATAAATGAAATTCTAAGTGTTGATTGCGTTTGGGTGTGATTTATCACAGAGATTGCAGATGATCTTAATATTTGTAGACTATGTAAGCTAAAATCGATCAGCACGGGCTAATTATAAAATAGTGCACCCATCAAATATGGTTAGTGGAAACTACAACAAGCTTTACGTTAGTGTTCTTTAGTTGTCTCATTTGAAGCATATTCTACCAAGTTAGGTTTGTATCCAGCCTTTTATATAAAATGAGATGCCACTTAGTTTTTTTTTAAAATTAGTCTTATAATGATTGGCAACGCATAGTTGCTAGCGCACATAATCTTATTTACATCACGTACTTTATATGTGGAATAATTACTTCAGTAAATGTATGACATTAAAAAAATCTAGGATTATAGTCGTTTCTCAGAAATAGAGAAAAAAAATGTTTTTTTTTTCTGAAATGATTACAGATATTGGATAATCAATACTTTTAGGCGCCTATGCGTCAGAGTGTTATCCGATTACGCAACTTGACTGAAAAAAACCTGGTCAACCTGTAATGTAACTAAAGATTTAAATATACCACAATATTATGAACGTTATGGACTATTGTTTACTTTATGATTTCCTGAAACTAAAAACACGAAAACAAATAAAGAACTTTTTTAATTGTGAAAAATCCCACCCACATTGCCCTTGACGTGACGACGACTGAGGTCTGATTATGGGCCGCTGATGATAAGTCGAACGCTGTAAAGGAAGGTGGCCCATAAACCTCTTGTCTGATCAGTCTGCGATAATCGATTTTATTTTCCGGTTGATCATCAGTGTTGGGATTCAAGAGATAATCAGAATCAAGAAACCTATAATTAGCTAAATATTTACCATTACCTTTACCTAGTTACCTAATTGTAATATTTATCGTGTAAGTTTTAGACGAGGTTAAAGAGAACAAACAAGACATTACAGATAGGGAGAACAACTTTTTTTTGGAAAATTACAAAATACTGACAGAACAAGTGCTGCATTTTTCGCACTGTTTTGTTTGTACTTTCATACTGTTCTGTAAACAGTCAGGCGTCATTGCATGTATGGTTGGTTACCTGACTTTCTGTACTCTCGGCGTTGTCATTTGTTTGTCTATTTTTTCCCAATCATGCATGTTTCTGTGTGGCACGTTACTTGATTGAGATTTTCGAATTGCATCTAAAGGGTAATGAAAAAATTAATCATCGGTATTTCGAGTATTAGTAGCAGTAATAAATAATCGCAGAAAAAAATGTTTTCTTTTCATGAAACTCTACGTCAAGCCGTATCCTGTTTTGGCTTGACGTAGATTTCATATAAAAAAGATTAAATCTCAAAACGATAGACGCGGTATATATTTGTATAAAATACTATCGTGTGACGTCATATTTTAGACATTAAACTGCACAATAAATATTTTAGTATAAGTCCTAAATTGTCAGGAGTAATAAACGTTATTATTTTATTTAGCTATTACCAATCAATTATATTTAATGTTGATTTGAAGGTATAAATACAGTAAAAATATTTAATTAATAATGGAGGACAATTCATGATGTACCTTAAGTTGTTGCAATTAATGATTAAGACGAAATAATTTATTTTTAATTTAGCCTATTGTTGTGATTGTAATGTCGTAAGATATAAATACTCACCTAGTTCGTAAGTGAGATAAGGCCTCATAGACATACTAGGTTGTAGGGGCTTCGGTGGCACCGCGGGTCCTGCTTCTGTCTGCATGTATGCTTTCGCGTCGCATGAAATGCAGTTCACATCCCTGACAATTGACATTAAAAAGCTGTTAATACGCAAAAAGTTCTATTGAATAAGTGATAATAAGACAAGGCAGCAAAAATTAAGTTATGATTTATTTATATTTTACTTGTACCTACGCATTTTATTTTATTTACATATGGATATAAGTACGTATTTTCCTTTGTCACTTTGTTTTTCTATATGTAAAGCTATTATTATCGTATTAAAAACGTGCCTGTCTTCATCACTGGCTCAATTTTTGAAAGGTCATATTTAGATTTGACTGGATAGTTTCCGTACGGTGACGGATTAAGAATACGGATTGTCACCATCCCTATTCACCCCTTAGGTGTCGTAAGAGTTGACTAAGGAAACAAACAATGCAGGACAACCACACTGCAAAGAGCAGGAAACTTGACACTCGGACAGTTGACTATTAAAGGCTGTTGATGATGATTGGATAGATTCTTCTTAAATTACATGTTGTATAACATTTTTATCATCGTCATCATCATCAGCCTTTCATAGTCCACTGCTGGACATAGGCCTCTCCTTAGGAAAGAGGTTTTGGCCTACTACACCACGCTGGCCAGACGGGATGGTATAGGGTTTGTTTCAAGTTTTTCATCTCTTTGCAGTGCTGTTATCCTGTGCAGTTTGCTCCTCTAGTCGGCTCTTACGACACCCATGGGATGAATAGGCGTAGTTACACTCCATATTCGTAATCCGTCATCACACGGAAGAATCATTTTTTTAAACTTTACATATTTTATTTCTAATGAACATTCCTGCTCGTTGTATACCGCAGTTGGTTAAGTTTAGACTAGTAAGATTACCTACTATGATTATGATAATAACTCCATAGCTAGCAAGAACCAGTAGAACGTGACCTCAGAGTTTAAGTAGCTTGTAGTTTAAGTCGGCTTAGTAATAATAGGACCTCCTTCAATAAATATCGTATGTTTTATGATTTTTACGTTATGGTAATGTTTAACAGTTAAGACGAAAAAAAAGGGATTTATTTTACATTGTAAGTATACGACTTTAACTCACTAAGTTACTACTAATTTTATGACATTAACGGTGGCTATTCATCCGTGGCATCCCGAGATGAGTATTGCTAAATCATAGAGAAACACGGTAGGGAGTAGCCATACGCAGGCGTTCCCCTCTGCCAAAGTCTACACGGTCATAAGCGTATAATAAAACTAGTTGCGGCCGGACCGCTCACTAGACTAAATCTAGTGGGGCTACTGAGTAAACGATAGTAGCCGTCCTATAAAAATGCCAAATTGTTCAATCTTTTGCTTCAAAGAGAGATCAGTGTGCTTCAAAGTGTTGCTCACCGTTATCACCGAGCTATAGTATTGTTACCGGTTTGTAAATAGTTGGATATCCATAAAACATAAATACATCCATGTCTCTGCATATTATCATTTACGAGATAATGCTTTCTGATATAATTAATATATTATGTGGATTGTGAGGTTTATTTTATTATAGTTTAATATTATATTCCAATCAAATATAATACAATATTTACGAGTATTTACACATTAACGGGTCTACCAATAGGGATGACCTGGTTTTGACAGCTCATAGTGGCCATGTTTGATGATGGATCTTTAACGTCTCTTGACATTTGTGTTCAGTAAGGTTTGCCATTTTATCATGTCACGTTTCACTTTAAACCAATGCTTGGAAATTGTCCAAAACTTCTTTGAAAGTGACGAAGGAAACCCTGTTACTGTGAATGGCGAGCGCTATAACTCGATGTTAACCGAATATTTCTTGCCGGAATGTGATGATATTGATGCAGACGACCCTTATTTTCAACAAGACGGTGCACCACCTCACATTACTCGAGTGAACATGGAATTATTGCGTGGAAAGTTTGGTGAGTCGTTAATTTCGAGAAATGGACCGATCAGTTGGCCACCAAGATCGTGTGATTTAACACCTTTAGACTATTTTCTTTGGGGTTACGTTAAATCTAAAGTGTACAGCAATAATCCAGCTACAATTCGTGACCTAAAAACCAACATTCGACGAGCCATAGCCGACATACCGGCCGAAATGGTGCACCGCGTCACCGAAAATTGGCGTGAGCGGGTGACCGTCCGGAAAAAGAGCCGCGGCGGTCATAGGGCCGATATATTATTTAAAACATAAATTGCATAAAATTATCTATCAAATAAATCAATCGGATGCATTTTTCATGAAAAATTATGTGTTTTATTCAATTTTTAAACCAGGACGTTCTTATTGGTAGACCCCATATATTAAAATTACTAAGTAAGAACTACTTACGACTACATTGTTTTTATTTATTTATTGTAGGTGCCTAAAGATCCGACTTTAAAGGCTATATGAAAGAACTTTTGTATTAACAGATACCTTACCTGGATACCTACAAGAAACAGTGTTATTTGCTCAGATAATTTCAAGACCTGACTTTTAAGTGTTAACACGAACAATAGAAGGATGGAACATTCTTAATGAAAAAAGGTAACCCACAGAAATGTATTCAACATATTTATACAAAATTTATCTAGTTTAAAAATCAGTGATACATAAAACTATTGGTAATCTCAATGATGATTGTTGTAGTAATAAATAAAGTCCTATCCATATTATTATACACCTTTGTCTCACTTTAAAAAAAAGTGATTACCCTAACCGACTTCTCGAATGTATCGATATTGCGTATCGATGTTGACCAAATCCTCCTTTCTTGTTATTTTTGGCTATGGCTACTCCTCTCCGGTCCGCCGGTGGCCTGTGTTACTCTATATGTTAAAGCCTCGTATTGTCCGAGGTACGCTTCCGTCATTAGAGGTGCATCTGAGTCAGAGTAGCAGTCGGTTTTATCGCGAGACTCTTGGCTTACTGGTGATTATAGGAATTTAAAACCACAAGCCGCATAGTTACGTAAAAAGATCGATCGATCTATCGTAAAAAATAAACAGTTTTATATGTTTCCAGGTCTTTTTTTTCCTTTTTAGAAAAGACATTACTTGCACTAGGAAAAAATCCTATGTCACAGGGGATTTACAAACATAAGTACATGAAACGGACACAAAAACACTCAGACGCCGGAATAACAATTTGCCGATCACACAAAGTGTTGTCCCATGTGAGGATTGAACCTACAACACTCAGCGTAGTAGAGTCATTAAATCCTAATAACCGTAATGCTAGCCTTATATACAAGGTGTAAGGGACATCGTACCAAATACTGAAATAGTGTATTCAGACCATGATTCTGAGTCGGAAATCAGTTGAATTTTCTGCCGGAAAATTCATTATTTCTTTTTAATTTTCCATTTTTCTGGTTAAAAATGATGAGAATTGTGATATTTTCAATTAGTACACAGAACATTTTACCGAAAACAATTTAATAAATAATACCAAAAAACTGCAATGTAATTAATCAAACAGCCGAAGCGGCCTCTCCGCCGCTCTACTCTGGCCGCCATTTTGTGTTAGTGTGCTTGGACTGTTTGCACGAAATACTCATGTAGTTATTACTTTAGTGCGATACTTACGGGAAATGACTTTAACCTTTGACAGCTGATTGCATAAAAAGTTTAATTTTTCGGCAGAAAATTCTAATGATTTTCAACTCAGAATGATGATCTGAATACACTATTTCGGTATTCGTTACGACGTCCCTTACACCGTGTATAGAGATAAAAATCTAAAAATGTTCAGATATAAACAAGTAGTTACTTTAACAATTTGCTCTTAGTGCCAGCAGCTTCAGCCTCGCGGCGCAAATTAGCCATTTGTTTCAGATTATCTTGCAGCTGTTTCATCTTTTTAATGAAGAAATCTTTAATCGGCGCCAGCTCTACTCTGTCTAACTTCATCTCGATCTCTCTTTGAATATCATCTAATGCTTGCTGCCATAGTGATTCCTGAAAATATTATGTGTATACACTACACTTAATTCTTGAAGATATAAGCTATAAAGGTTACATCAAATTAACCTATTATATTCATGATAACTACTCATTATTCGCAATATGCTTTACCTAATTGTCATCAAAAAATGGGCTATTTAATTGGCAGTGAGCAAAAAGATTTATACAATAACCTATTCTATTTTATTAAAGTCATTAATAACTGATAATCCGTTTAATTGGTCTTAGTCATCGTTTTATGGAAGGAGTAATTGTCTGTACAAAAATTACTGATTGTAGTCTAAAATAAGTTTCATTTTTAAACCGACTTTAAAAAAGAAGGGGGTTTTCGATATGGCTGTATTTAGGAACTATGACGAATGTCATATCCTATTTTATTTAATAAAATCTGAAAAAGTCAGTCAGACAGCATGATTTTAAAAATGGTTAAGACGATAAATTGAGATGTTATTGTTCCAAATGAATATCGAATTAATCATTATCAAATGATTGCTTCAAATTTCTGAAGCAATCTAACCGCCAACCGAGACACGGTTTTTCAGACTTCTTCAGACAGATTTCTTCAGACAGATTGCTTCAGATTCATGTATAACAAGAGTTTTCCGAAAGCAGCTTAAGAATCTTGCCTTTTTTAAACAAATTCTTTAAAAAAAAATCTACAAACTAAATGGAAACTCCATATACAAGTAACAAAGAAGTTGAAATACCTGAACATTAAGTTTTCCAAGAGCGTGTTCCAGTCCCTTAGCGAGGTCGTCACAAGCCATTTCGAACTGATCATGAGAAACCTTGCGCGCGACTACGCGTAAATCTGCCTTATCAGCCAGAGCCGCTGTCATGTCCTCACGGTCCAGCTTAATAGCTTTTAGTAGTTCTATTTGTTCTAACAATGACTGAAAAAATTAATTTAAAACATATTTTGGAGTACGTGGCTATGTCAATTAAGTTGAAGAATATTTGAAATAAAATATAAATCAATTTAGTCGCTACATATTTCGTTTTATTCAGAGTTCAATTAATGTAACATAAGCTATACAGCTGAATTTTATTTCTATTTAATTTTTCTAACAACATTATTTGTTGCTTATTGTTAATTTTCATTTATTGAATTTTGATAGATTTGTATCTCGGATAGTTAAAGAAATGCTAGTAGTTATTTATGAAGAATTCACTTTTTCTAAGTACTGGTAGTAATCTTACATTGATGTTGTGTTGCCTCTCTTCCTTCTCCGTCACTAATTGTAGCGCCGTGTCATGCACTTCTTTTAATTGATTTTGCATAGTGTGTACGGTTTTATATAATGACATCAAACCTGTCCAACATATAAGATACTTATTTGTTTTCTATATACTTATGTACCCTAGGAGTATTAAAAATAAAGAGCTCAGTAACTCGTACACACAATATACACAGTTTTACGGATTTGGATGAAATTTGCAACACATAGGCTTGTGTAAACCAAATCTTGTGTTTAAAAAACTCTGTTTCTCAGTTACTTATTTATTATATTGCACTTTTTAGGGCTCCGACTACCCGTAACGATTGCCACAGATGTTTGTATGGCAACGGGGATCCACGGTTAAGAATCACCCATTCATAGGCTGACCTAATAAGTATAAATGAAATGAATGAAATACTATGATAATATACAAAAAAATCTCCTCTCCCCTTGGGCGTTAAAGTACTCGTATTGTAGATACCTTTTAGATCCTTCAACAGTTCTGGAGATGGACCCGGAGCGGCAGCGCCTGTACAGGTGTCAGAGGCGTTATACTGTAGTCGAGCGTTTTGCTCTACCTGATCTTGCAGCGCATTCAACTATAAGATAATAAATATTTCAATAACCCTCTGTTTAAAACTTTATTACACACATTAAAGAGGCTCCCAAATTAATAGCGTTAATACGGCAATAACTACTAGGTATAATCTAAGACATGATTTCTTTACTAACGATGTCAATATTTCGAACCAAAAATGTAAAATTATACAAAAATATGAAAATATTATAATATAGATATAACCTATGAAAATATCTGGCAGATAATGCCAATTTTTCAACTCAATGTAACAATCTGAAACCGTCGTTTTGATTTATCCGTATGCTACCCGTAGCGGCCTCTAATTTTGAACCTAATATTGAAATGAACTCTTATATTTAATTTCGCCTTTTTTTTTTTTTTTTTTTTTATCGTGTGGAAATCCCCTCGGACCGTCACCCCTCCGGGGTTTGCGGCGGGGTGGTGTGTCGGACTCGGACCGACTAAAACCACACGGTGTGCCACTCTGCGCCTGTAACAGGAGGGATCCGGGAACAGCTGTTGTTAAGACATCCGGACCCCTCCTAGCGCCAGCCCGCTCCTGGTGTGGGCTCCGTCTCAATGTAGATGTTCCTCTCTTTAGGCGACGTCCGGCACACGCGGACGCCGCCCCCTCGCGGCTGGCCAACTAATGCGGGTGGAGGGGAAACCCACCCCGTCCACCCGCGGCCACACTCAGGGCGGCATGAGGCTGTGGTAGGCGGGCCTCCGCCGCCCGGTTCGCCGGCGGCGGATCGGGTCCGAGTGGAGGTCGTCCTCCCGGGCCCTCTCCGCCGCCTCCTTCCGCGAGATTACTACCTCGCAGAAGGTTGCGACCGCGGTAAAACAACTGTCGCTACCGGCCATGGAGCGTACTACGGCCGGTAGCGAGAGATCCACTCCGATGACTGCAGTGAGGGCCCGGCGCTGCGCCGCCCATGCGGGGCAGACCGCCAGCGTGTGCTGGGCCGAGTCCTCACTGCAGTCGCAGTGGTGGCAGGCGGGACTCAGTTCCCTCCTAGCGACCGAGTGCAGGTACTTTCCGAAGCAACCGTGCCCGGAAAGCACCTGCGTCAGCCGGAAGGAAAGGGTCCCGTGCTGCCGCCCTGCCCACTCGGCGATGACCGGCTGGAGAGCCTCCACGGCGGCGAAGCCAGCGCGTGGAGTCTCCAGCCGGAACGACCAACGAGCCATCGTGGCTCGGCGAGCGGCTTCGCGCCACTCGCGCACATCCTCGGGCGGAGGGCGAAATCCGCTCTCCGCCCGGGAGTCAGCCACTCGCCGATAAACTTCAGCGAGCACTTCCGCCTCCAAATCCCACGGGGGAGTTCCGGCCAACGCGCATGCCACCTCCGTAGAAACGGTGCGGTAACCGCGTATGGCTCTGACCGCCAGTACCCTCTGAGGGCGCCAGAGGCGTACCCTATTCTGGGCGGTCAGAGCCGCCGCCCACACCGGTGCACCGTACAGCGCCATTGACCGGACAACCCCCGTGTACAGCCGTCTTGTCGCGACGCTGGGTCCACCTATATTGGGCAAAAGTCGCCCTAGGGCAGACGCAGCGCCGACCAGCTTTGGAGCAAGCTGTCGGAAGTGCTCGTCGAAGAGCCACCTCCCGTCGAGGATCAGGCCCAGATATTTCATCTGGGCCCGAACCGGTACGAGGACCGAGTTGACCACGATTGAGGCGCCAGGGGGTGGACCACGACGGGGCCCATGAAATAACAGGGCCTCCGTCTTATCTAGGGCCACCCGTAAGCCCAGCGCCTCAATGCGCCCGACCACCAGGGAGACTCCCCCTGTGGCCAGGCGCGCCGCCTCTTGGAAGTTTGCCCCCCGGGCTGTCACGAGGGTATCGTCTGCGTAACAGATTACACCCAGCCCGGGGGGGAAATCGGCGCGAAGGGCCCAGTCGTACCCTATGTTCCACAAGAGGGGTCCAAGAACAGACCCCTGTGGAACACCGCACGACGTGGGCCGACTCCTCAAATTACCTTCTCGGTCCTCGTACACGACGGTACGCTCCTCTAAATAGTCTGCCACCAGCCGCCTCAGGTACTTTGGCACCCCATGATAGTGGAGTGCTTCCCTGATGCAGCTGAATGGCAGACTATTGAATGCGTTGGCGATGTCCAATGACACCGCCAACAGCACGCCGCCACAGCTCACGGCCTCTTCGGTCACGGCCCTCAGGCGCAACACAGCGTCGACTGTCGAACGCCCCGCCCGAAAACCAAATTGGGCGTCCGACAGATCGGGGCCCACCTCGCAGAGGTGCCGGACGATGCGGGCAGAAAGAACCCTCTCAAACAATTTGCCCGCCTCGTCCAGCAGCACGATGGGCCTATAGGCCGCGACCGAATCGGCAGGCCGTCCCGGCTTCCTCAATAGGACCAGCTTCCCGCTCTTCCAGCACTCAGGGAAGCGTCCCGACGCCAAGCTAGCGTCGAACACCTCCCCGAGGCGGTCTGCCAAGTGGTTGAGGGCCAGGGCCAGCACTCGGGCCGGTACCCCGTCTGGCCCAGGGGCGGTGTTCTTGGAACGGATCCGTAGAACAGCCGCCCCTACCTCCGAATCCCGGACGGGCGGAACATTGTCCTCCCCGTGCTCCCCGTCGTCTCCGGCCAGGGAGGCCATCGACGGGGGAGTGTGTTCCGCTCGTTGTGGGAAAAGGCCCTCAACCACTTCTCGCAGGAAGCTGGGCTGGAGAGTCTCCGTAAGGGGGGGGCCCGACGCGCGGAGCTTTTGTCGCACCGCGCGGTAAGGGCGACCCCAGGGGTCACGATTGAGACCCTCCAGCATCTCCTGTCTTTTTTCTTCTTTGGCGCGGCTAATGGCCAGCTTCAGAGTTTCCCGCGCCCGTCGGTACTCCTCATGAAGCCGGTCCTCCTCACCGTCTCCACGGTGACGCCGCCGACTGCGCGTGTAGGACCTCCGGGCACATGTACAGGCCGCACGGAGGTCCGCCAGCTCCTGGGACCACCAGTAGACCTCCTTCCTTGGAGGCCGACGACCTCGAATGCGGGGCATGGCCGCATCGCAGATATGCGTAATCGCATCGCGAAAGCGGCCAGCCCCCACGTCGACCTCCTCGGTCGGAGCCTGAGGAGACAGCCACGAGTGAATTATGGCTGCCTCCTCTAGTAGGTCCCGGTTCAGCCTGGCAACAGCCCACCGCGGAAAGCGGGATAAACGCCGCGCCACGTGATCCCTACTGGAGTCCTGGGTCCGGGAGAGCTCAAATCGGATATACAGGTGATCCGAGAGCGTCTCAACCTCTTCCAGGACACACCAGTTCCTTACTCGTGCGGCGAGGGCAGGGGTAGCGAACGAAAGGTCCACTATCGACCCCCCCTGCTGTCGCACGCACGTGTTGGTGGAGCCTCTGTTTAGAAGACAGAGGCCCACCGAGGCCGCCCACTCCTCTACGGCCTCGCCCCTGGCGTCCGTCCTGGGGGAACCCCACGCAATGGACTTTGCGTTGAAGTCCCCCAGCACAAGGACGTGCCCAGACGCTAGTCGCCGTATCGAGGTCTCCAAGCTGGTTAAGAAAACCTCGAAGTCGTTCAAACTCCGGTTGGGGGAGAAATAAACACCATATATGGTGATCCCCCCCCACTCGACGGCAACATATCCAGTGCCCTTGTCTCTTAGCGACAAGGGCGGGGAATGAGCCGTCGTGGAACCGACGACTGCCACGGAGCCGTCCCAGTCACCCATCCAGTTTGGACGGGGAGGGACAGAATAGGGCTCCGCGACTACGGCAACACCTATCGACCACTGTGCCATGGTTTGCAGGAAGAGATCCTGCGCCGCGGCACAGTGGTTCAGGTTCGTCTGGACCAGGAGGTTGGAGACTTGATCCATTACTGGATCGTCTCTACAACCTCCTCCATGGGCGACGACGACGACGCACGTACTATATCAGAGGCAGCCTGGGTCGACTGGCTAGCCCCTGACGTCTGCCGAGAACTGCGGGGAGGCTTGCAGCCTCTCTGCCCCATCTGGTGATTGGCGGGCTTATTGCCCGCCGCACACGCTGGGCAGTGAGGGGCGGCAGAGCATTCTGCCGCCTTATGCCCCGGTTGACCGCAGCGGAAGCACAGTCCGCCGCAGTCGAAACAGCTGTCGCACTTGACGCGCGTGTGTCCCGATGCTAGGCATTTGTAGCACCTCATCGGTTTCGCCGCCAGGACTGTGATCCTGGCGCTCACGAAACCGATGAGCAGCCTGCCGGCGTCGGCCAATACTTTGGCCGACGCTACGGGACAGCTGACCCACACGGCGCCAAGCCCTCCTGGACCGGGGCGGATGGTGCCGACCCTGACGTTGTCCGCGCTGCACCCCGTCTTCTCCCGGATTACAGCGCGGACATCTTCGGCCGTCACAGAGTCGTCCAGGCCCGAGATGCGCAGCTCTGCGCACTTAGTAGGCCTGGCGATCTTTACACCATCCGTGGCTGTAAAGAGTCCCCGCAGCTTCTCGGCAAATGTGTCCGCCGTCTTAGCGCCTTCAGCCCCAGGGAACTCGAGGACTCGAGCTCCCGTCTGGGCGAGGCGCATCCTGACCCCCACCGTCCCAAAGTCGTTGGCGAGGCTGTCCCGGGCCTTTTTAAAAACGGCCGCGTAGGACAGCCCGCCGTCCGCCGCCTCCGGGGACACGGTCACAACTACAGCCGCGGTTTTGGGCGGCTGCAGCTTCCGCGGCCTCTTTGCAGAGGCCGTTGCCACCGGTGGCTAAGGCTGGGCTTGGGCTGCTTTTTGGGCAGCCTTTCTGGCCCGCCTTCGGGACTTCTTGGAGCCCCTCACCTCCTGCCAACCCTCGTTGGAGGGGGCAGGTGCGGAGGGGCCCGGCAGGGGTGTCAGAGTGGGGAGCGGAGGGAATGCCACTCCGCTCCTCGGCGCTGTTCTAGGCCCCGTCTTGGCCGGCGCCTGGGGATGCGCCCTGGCCGGCGCCTTAGCCGGTGCCTTGGCCGGCGCCTGGGCCGGTGCCTTGGCCCCCCTCCTCGGCTTTTGTGGAGCCGATGGAGTAGGGGCAGACGCCGCCGCCGCGTAAGATTTAATTTCGCCTATCCTAAGGCGAAATGGGACACCTTTTTTTTTTTTTTTTTTTTTTTTTTTTTTTCCGTGCGGAAATCCCCTCGGATACCACCTGTCGGTGGCATGTCGGACTCGAACCGACTAAAACCGCACGCCGTCGCCGGGTACTAATAGCCGGGGAACCAGGTATACCCTAGAAAGGAAGGCCCTGGTGCCCCGACATACCTCGGGTCATCTACAGACGAGTAGACGACCCCCGCCCCGTGTGTGAACCCCATGTTCCCTGTGCTCCCTGGAAGCGAGCGCGCTTCGCAACGCGCTCGCCGCCACCCCGGCCTGCTTCTGCTAGGGTGACAGATGGCCTCACCTGTCACCCCCAGGCCTGCGCTTATGGAGGACGGAGGTCGTTCTGCGACCTCCGGCGCCTGAGTCGCCTGCGCTGCCTGGCCCGTGCCCGGGCCTGGCGGGCCGGGAGAGTTCTAAACCTCTCCCGGTCCCGCTCCGCCGTCTCCTTCGCGAGCATAACTTGCTCGCAGAAGGAGACGGCAGAGTTCCACGCACTCTCGCTCCGCACGATAGCCGCAATCAGGCTATCGAGCGAGAGAACTCCCACTCCGATGGCCGCCACGAGGTCTCGCCTCTGCTCAACCCACGCCGGGCACTCTGCCAGCGTGTGGAGAGCCGTGTCCACGGTCTGGCCATCGCAGTGGTGGCACTCAGGCGTTGGCTCCTTGCGGATCAGACACAGGTGATCTCCGAAACATCCCTTCCCAGTGATCACCTGCGTCAATCGGTATGAGAGGGTCCCGTGACGCCTCTCGAGCCAATCCTCCATAACGGGTCTTACCGCCGCAATGACGGCGTGCCCGGCGCTCGGTTGCCCGAGTCGTTCCCTCCACTCCCCTATGATGACCTGGCGGAGTTGGGATTTCCGGTCATCGATTTCTCGAATCTCGGGGTATCGACCCAACTCCTGCGCCTCCTTGCGCCACTGATACAGTGCTGCAAGGGCTCTCGCCTCCAGGTCCCACGGTGGAGTTCCGGCCAGGAGACTCGCCGCCTCGAAGGAGATCGTGCGGTACCCCCTTATGATCCTGATGGCCAGCATTCGCTGCGGTCGCCGCAGTATCGCGACGTTGCTGGCCTTCAGGGCCCCCGCCCATACTGGGCACCCGTAAAGGGCCATGGACCGCACAACCCCCGAGTAGAGTCTCCGGCAGGAGTCATCGGGTCCCTTCATGTTGGGCAGCAGCCGCGCCAACGCACGCGCTGCCCCAACCAACTTGGGGACCAGACCTCGGAAATGATATCCGAAGTCCGAAATGGGACACCTGGCCTTTGTTGGATACCTATCCCACAATACTATAATTATAAAAGTTTCATACTTGATTTAGTATGTTTCCACTGGGCGGGAAAACTATATTTGTAATTTCATTCACTTTTCGTTCGAGGTCCTTCAGTTTTCCACTAAGGGATGCAATCTTCGAGTTCGCATCAGCACCTACAAAATGTATTATCAATATCAATAACTAACTAGCTAAAATCGAATACCTTCAAAATCCATTGTAATGTATCAACTAAGGTGTTTTTCGAGAAAGTTGTCTCGTTGTAGTAGCAATTAGAACTCGCTATAGATGTTATCTTTTTAGATGAATCAACTACATTTAGAAAAAATAAAGTTGGTTTAAAATTTTTATTTATTTATAGATAGCGTTTTTAGTGTTTGTAAATCGCGCTATAGTTTCACCACTGAAAATGTCATAAATAACACTATTTCTAACACTAGGAAATTCCTTTGTGTGTGAAATGTGATACGTAATTGAGTACTATTATTATTCGTCTACGTATCTAGGTCTCGTTCACTATAGTTAGATCCCACTTTGCCGTTTTAATTAACTTAAATAATGCAAGTATGTACTACTTTCTACAGTAATTTAATATTTATTTTAGTTATTTTATCCAGATAAAAGTAATAGTTTAGATAAATTTCAAATGTAAAAATAAAATAAAATGGAATCAATATGTAAATTTCTCAAATAAGATTAAATGGAAGTAATGACATAGATTACCTGCAGATGGTGATTCGGCGCGTTTTTTACCGGCCGATACTGTAACTTGTCTAGCGGCCGGCGCCGGCGTTCTAGGCGGCGTTTCAATCGGTGTTGTAGTTTGTGTTGCACTCGGAGTAGTTGCTTGTGTTACCTCCGGCGATGTTGCTTCTGTTGCGATCGGTGTCGTCACATGTGTACCACCTACAGGTTCATCTGATTGTATGCTGGTGGTCTGTGTTGGATGTACTACCACGGTCGGCAACACCATCTCTTGCTTAGGCGGCGGTTCTGGTAGTAATAAATAAATCAACCAATTCGATATGATTACTACTTTAGAGATCAAGTTCTAAATACATTGTCTGAGTATTTTAAATTTCAATAAAATAAGTACCTATTAACGGTCCTTGAAACAATGCAATTATCGCCATATTCTTAAAATTACTTTTGTATATTCGTGTCTTAGTTAAATCACTGGTTGCTCAAGAGTAAGATAAATATTATTGCATAAATCTAATCCCTATAGTTTCACCGTGATTGCCCGCCTGTCTGTACGCGAATCCACCGGTTCACCTGCGGCTTAGCTTAGAGACTTAGGCCCATATTTAAAAATAAAAGAAGTCTCAAGTATCGACTAAACCCTGATTACCTGAAATTAGTTTCAAGTTCAGATCAAAACTTAAACATCGATCTTATTAAGAACGCGTTTTAAGTCTTACACAGTTGAAACTAATCTCAAGCGTTGATTTGAACTTCAGTCTGTTCTCAAGTACATTTACGCATTATCGACATTATTATTCCGTTTTAAGCAGCTAATTATACTTAAAAAAATATTCTTTTACAAAAATAATTTCTGTGAATTTGATTACAACATACTATTGGCTAGTGTAGCAATGTTAACACATTAACAAGCCTGTTGATAGCCTAAAATTAAATAAATAAATAGCAAAATGAAAATGACTATAACGGAACGTTCAACACTTGTTATGTTGAATTGTCAAAATGTTTATATATTTCTAACATATTTTTTTTAGAGAATATTATTATGTCTTTGTCATAAACCAAAATGTTGAAGTTAATTTTAATTCTAACAGGTAATTGAATGTGAATTTTGAATTGAAAATCAATTAAGGTAAATTGAAGTGAATTGAATATGTTATGTCAAGTAATTGAATATCTTTTGCAATCATCGTTGGAAGAAACAAATCATAGTAAAACACGTTCAATTTCCCCTAAAATCAATCACTACTTGAGACTCTTGAGACGGCTTGTATCACGTAAACGAATATCTTATCTGTCAAAATCTATGCTTGAGTAAAAATTTCGACACAAACATAAGCTATGACACACTTCAGTATGGATCGGTGAATCTGGTTTTAAGTGATGTTCAATAACAAAATCTCTACTTAAAATCAGTTTTAAGATTTAAGAGACTACTGACACACCTTTTGAAATACGGGCTTTAGTATGAAACAACTGTAATTTTCCATGGGTAATGCGATAAAGCAATGAAATAAAATCTTGGAATAAAAATTAACTCTCAAAGTTCCCAGTTGTCATAGTTTGTAAATGGCAGGTAGTGGAGTTTAGGTTTTTCTTAAATTATGTTCTTTAAATTATAAATTAAAGTGTGAAGTGTAGAAATACAGACCAAGTTCCTGACCCATGTCTTTCATAGTGTTATAAAAGGCGCCAGACAGATGATTGAGCTCATCCTGCAGTGATTTAAGGTAAAGTATTAATTGCGCGAGTTCTTCTTTAGTTGCGCATTCTGGTGGCATTCCACTACTTATTGGTACCGTGCTAGTGCCTTCGGCTGGTAAAGTTATTGGTTGCGATGAAGTTCCCTTAACTCTCATGTCCTCTGCCCTATAGGGGAAAAAAAATTAATTCCGTTTAGAACCACAAGTATTACAAACATGTTAAATATGTTTTTTTATATATGGAGGCAAGCAAAATTCTGAAATAATTACCTCCCCACAACCGGTGGTTTAAGCCTACCGGGTGCGGGAAGGTGATTATTTCAGAATTTTGCTTGTGGTGCTGCTACTGGCCAGTCTTCAAATCATATCAAATCAAACTGTTTATTAGCGTAATACAGGTTATACAAAGATCTTAGAAACTAATTTTGGACTCTGTATACTACCCTTGTAGGCGTGCAAATAATTCATACACATAAATTACACTAAACACAACAAATAAATATTGAATTGTTATATATTAATAAATAAAAAATCTTAATCCTAAACTTTATTCAGAAAGTCGCAGAATTTTTAAATTATGTCAAATCAATAATATCGGTTTTCAGTGAATCAGTGACAAATACTGCTTACAGTCAATTGTTAATACGTTATTTTTCTCTCAGAAACGCTTTTAGTTCACGTTTAAATTGACTTATGTCACATATTTGACGAGTATTTTTTGGGAGCTTGTTAAACACTAAGAGCTATGCCGAGGACATTTTTATCAAAAAGTGCGGCACGTTGTCACATTGTTAAGGCATTGAAAATATTCTGGATGCAATTTAACAAAAACTGCCGGCTCTAACGCATTGTTTTTGTGCTCGAAACGCATCGTCTCTCTTAACTGAGTTTCCCAAAAAAAAATTCCGTACCGTAGTGTAGCTGTGACGCAAGCATTATTAGCAACTAGTACGTACTATAAACTCGTTACTTTAAAGAGCATATATAACGCACACGAGAAAAAAAATATTTATTTACATATTTCTTCTATTTGCGTTTCCTATGACAAAACTTTATCAATTCATAATCCTAATTATATACAATTTTATTATCATATACATATATATAATTTAAAAATTCATTCAATATATATATTTTTACGACATTTAATAGGAATTATCTTTAGCATTCTTCGTTACTTCGAGGAGAAAGAATCTCTTTACGTCTCCAGAAGACCCATTCTACCAACCAACCAGACTTTGTGATATGGCCTGCCAAAACATCTACGCATGAACATCTACGCATGAACATTTATTTTTGTTTTGCAAAATATGCTTATAAATGCTAGTAATATAATTTTAAAGAAATAATGTTCTAATGATAAATGTGTGTATATAATACAATGAATTAACTTTGGTAAAAGGACGTCTTTTCCAATGAGGTCTTGCATCAATGAGCTTAGTTTTGCAATTCCTGCTTCAGCTGCTTCCAAACGAGATGACACGTTCAGAGAAGTCCACATATCGGTAATACCTTTTAAATTTGTTTGCGACCTAAAAACAAGTATTTATTGAAAAATATAAGTAACTTGATATAACTGTACGTGCAAAAAACGCCTTCTACCCCATCTCTATACCAAATTACACTACCAGTAATAACATGGGAAATATTTTTTCCCTACTGCACTATTAAGCAGTAGTGTAATGGGTAATTAACACAGATTAATAGATTACGCACACAGGCGCGCAACACATACTTGCTGTGGCTAGCATACGACGTGATGCTAAGAATCACGACATTAGTAACGACCAAGTTTGTGACCCGTACGCACGTCAAGTTCTGGCCAATTTAATATAGTTTTATTTAAAAAAAATATTAGAAATGTCTTCCTGTACAGTGAAATGGTGTGGCAAGTCAGCTAAGACATCTAGTTATCAAAAGGATGGCATAACATTTCATGGGTGAGTAAATTATATTCTTATCATGTTAACCTATTTCAAATGCACCGGAGTTCAACTTATACTGGTGCAAAGTGATAACAATTAAGCACTCGTTGATGTCTTTTTGAAATGTCCCTCTCACTATTACGTAAATTACAATTTTGTCTTGTCTTGGCTTGTCTTTGTCTGATGACTGCACGAGTATCAATAGTGTTGTGATTAATAGGTCGATGTTTGTGTGGTCATTGTTTCGCAGAAATAGTGTATATATGTGTTAACTCATATAGAAATAGTGTATATATGTGTTAACTTATAAGTGTTAACTCTGTCATATGCGTTTATACACATACAGCTATATAGACATTTAAATGGGACTTATTAAAGTATTTTTTTTGGAAGGATTTTCTTATTACTTGGAAATATTTAGAATTTTTTATTCGTTATTATTATTATATTAATTTGCACATTGTTTTTTGCGGTATATTTATGGTGAATATTGATATAATTAGAGTTGCAATTTGAAGGAAGCCAAGATAAAAGATGAAGTAAATAGTAAATTTACTTATGGTTAGTTCAACAATACGGGCTGGTCAACATATAAGTATTATTATTTTTATTAATTAATAGTTGTTTAACCTTTTTTTGCATTCGGTTTATATGGACAAAAAATATTTTAAACATTTTATACCTCACGCCTTCCAACAGTTCCTCGTTGTTTAGAGGAGTACCATAAACACGACTCTTCAAGTCATCCACACTTTTTTGTAGTTGATTGAACCTGTTTAGAGAGACGAGGGAGAGTCTTTCACCGGATGGGACACCCAATCGCTGCGCTGAGCCCGTTGGCACGATGTTTATTCCTGCAGATTTACTAGGTGTACCAGATGCTGGTTCTCCTCCTGGTACTTCACCGGCTACTGCAGTGGTTTCGCCACCTACAGCACCAGATCCTTCTGCGGTTGGGCCACTTGCACCGGGAGCTGGTGAAGCTCCTCCATCGGCTTGTTTGGCGCCCTCTCCTTCTGTTCCACCAGCTCCTACATCGGATATCTGTTTGCTACCATCTTCAACTATTCCTCCACCATCTGCTACAGTGATTTTTCTACTTGGTTTTGTGATTGTTTCTTTAGCTCCTCCTTCAATTGGTCTTATAGTGATTCCTCCAGATGCGTCGATTCCAATTGATGATGGGGTTGCTTTTGGTGCTGTGAGAGGTACTGTGGAATATTATAAGTATTAGACATCAAATCTACCTAGATATTAATATAAAATATCTATATCCTTTACTTGAACTTTCACTACTCATTAACAGTTTTTAAATTAGTCTACTGGACGGTCTAAATCAACGGAAAAGGTCTCCAATGCCTGTAAAAACTGAAAATGGTAATGATACTGATAATTCTTCAGCACACCTGTGTGGAATAAGTAAGCGATATAGCTCCTTTCAAATTTCGTTTTGTAAAACATTTAGTTGAATCGTCGAACACATTTAAATTAAAAGTAAAAAAAGTACTTAATTTTGTGTTTATAAGAATATTAAACGTAAACAAGTGAGAGTGGGGTATTTCATGTGACGAAGATAACGGATTTTTAAAATTGTTTTTTTAATTACTATTTTTTGATTAATGAAATGGTTGCTAGGGATGATTTCTTTTGTACTTAAGTAATTATTGTGATCCTAATGTATAACATTTTTTTCCTCGATCAGCTGTCTGTGGGAGTGATTTCATGAAAATGAAGGAAGTGAAACAGTTAGCTCATAACAGGAGCCTTGGCCTTTCTTTGCATGGCTTACTGCCATCATGGCAAATTGAGAAATATTAAGTGTACGCTTTTATATCCTCTCCAAATACCAATAAACTCCGCTGCACGCAAAATGTTAGTAGGAACGCCAAGGCCATTGTTTTCGCCACAGAATCTAATGGATAATATTTCAATAATGGTTTCAAAAAGCACAGATCTTTGTGTGTTAAAAAATATTATATTAATTCAAATGTAATGCAATGTAAAAACTTACCTCTTTGATTTTTGAGGAGACGTTCAACTGAAAATTAAATTGTCTTTTGCAAAACTAGGTAAATATAACTTACTAAGTGGCTTAAGTCTCACATTATTTTAATCTAGACACAAAATAAGAAAAACATCTTATCTGTAACTTTTTAGTAGAATAATTAATAACATATTCGTGCAATGTGCGTTTTGAGAGCAGTAGAGGGAACGAAGGAATGAATTGTTATTCAAAGTAGGGGTGGAGGGTGGTATTAACAAAAAAAACACCTTATTTTTATAAACCCTTTAGTAGTCTAACACTAAAGTTAGTGTCAAAGAGGGCGACGGGCTGGAAATACTCTGTCGTCAAACACACACATTGTAAAGATGGTCGGCGGGGGCAGTTGAATAATATCACGTTGTGATAAAAACACTACTTCCAAGATCTGATGTCTCAGTGGTTTTAATGTTTCGTTTGTCATAATCATGTGATCAAGCCTTCGTCGGTGTGCGTGATTTCATCACTATTCTGCATGACATTAACGTACATACATACACACCGACTGGTTTCGTGACGTTCTACTGCTAGCTGCCTAGATAGTAAGGCAAAAATGGGCCCCGTCGTGTCCGAAAATAACTAGTTTAGTCTAAATAGTTGTTCAACTGGGCATTCCCGGATACGCACATTAGTAAAACCGTATTTCATCTTTTTCTATTCCTCGTTTTATAATTGTTAGCTGAATAATCCTAAAAATATAGTAAGTAATACTTACCTACTAGTATGGTCTTGTCCTGTTCACCTGGACCTGTAGTTATACAATAATCTGTTATTCTTTCAGAACATTTCAATAAAGGTATCTAACTTACGATTTGTACTATATAAATAAAATATTACTCGTTAAGCTATTAATATTTAGAGAATGGTATGCATGTGTCCGGGCATATCATAATCTATTAGCCTATGTGAAACTCGGACACTAGCTTCTTTAGCTTCGTCTGTACTGCCACTTAGTCAGTCCTTGCTTCCAGTCCTACAGGGGTGTGCGCTCCTTGTAGGCAGAAATGCAGTGCTTTACTTGCTATTCACAGACATTTTAATAAAACGTTGGTACGTTTTAGATGACTTTAATTAATAGTAAATAAATGAAAAAACAAAATATAATAACTTAAAAACGCGTACTATTTACAAATAGCATAGCACCACACAAACATTGTTTGCCAGGTGTTTACCGAAAAGCAAGCGCAAAGCAACTCATGCCGTCGCCTCGCGCAGGACATTTGTGTTTGCATGTGTGTAGTAATTTTGGTGTCGGTGCACAGTTCGCATACGCACACACCCATTTATTTTATATGCCCGACTACAGCCGCAGGATGACCTTCGGTTGTCGGCTCCCGCGCTAATCGTTGTCGTCAGTATTCGGGTATAATCGGCAGTGTTCGTTGCCTATAAATTCACCCAATTACAATAGTCAGAAATATAATGAATCATGTATGCGGATTATGAATTTTGAATATGGTAAGGTTTTATTTGTTTAATTAGCAGATATGTTTCTTGTTCGCGGGGGCCATATTGATTTTTTCATGTGATAAGCATTGTTTACTATTTTCTTTCCGCCAGTATAATTATAGTTTTATTTGAAAGTGTGTACATTTAACAGTTTATTACTGAGTTCCGTTGATTTTTTAAAAATGTTATTTGATTGTGAGGTATGTGTGGAAAATTTGTGTATAATTTAAATTAAAAATAACAAGTTCTCACAATTGTCATTCAGTGAAAAGATTAAAATTGTGTCTAAAGGTCTGTAACTATCACTCACTTGGATAAGATATTTGAGGTGGCCGAAATCTTGCGTTTATTTACATTGGGATATAGTAATCTCAAGTAACCTTAACCTTGAATATGTGAATATCAGAAAATTGAAGATGACCAGGTGAGTAGTTATAATATTTTAGCTTATTATTTTACTTATTAGAATTTCCTCCGCCGCGATCTATCGCCGATCTATCGCAGTTTTGTCAGTGTTCCCGTTGAAGATGTACATGAATAGTAGTACATCTAAGACTTGTTCTGTTGGCATGGTTTCCGACTTAGAGATCCATCGCGTGGCTGTGGCTAAGCTAAAAATCTATAAAAGAAAAAGTTTTTGTGACCGACTACTCTGCCGCATACCTAGTGTCATAATCCTGTGCACGCCGCTGCAGTTCTAAATAAATAGATAGATAATACTTTATTTATAAACCAGAGATTTTTAGAGAAATTATAAAACATAAAATGTACACCAACAATAACTTAGGGAGGCCTTATCGCTTAGAGCTGTCACTTCCATGCAACCTTAGGATAGACTAGAATTATTTAAAACTGATGGTGATCGTAGTTGTATAACGAAAAGTTTCTCTAGCAATATCGATTTAACATAATAGAAAGGGAAAATAAACTTGTCAAACATAAAAATTACTACTCTCCATAAAAAATATTATACTATACATACATGTGTGCATTTATATAAACCAACCTGCGTAATCACATAAGCTTTTGGAATATTAAGACCAATGCACCCAACTGCATACATTGTTACTAACTTAGCACTTAATCGGTAAATTACACTGTTTTTTTGTTCCCTAATTCAAAATGAAGCAAAAGTTTGATAATTTGATGTGTTCATATGTGTTATATGTAAATGTAATTTTGTTTATTATGAGAGTTAATTGAAAGCAAAAATCAAGTAAGTTAATTGGTTATTACTATTATTGATACGATCCTGCCTTAGGAACTGAAAGGACACATTTAATACCACATTAAAAGAAACCCCGTACGTGTGTGAAGGTGGATGACAGTATTGCGAGTAATTAGTTTTTTTGTATGTTTCGTAGGAGTTTATTCAGACATACACTCAAACTTGATTGAAATACTTACCCTACACAAAATTCATTATATTGATTTTTGGAGCCTAGAAAAGCATGAGACATCATAGTAGACTTACCAGCAGCTTGTCCATCCGTCTGAAAATTGTAAAGGCATTATTTGTAATGGTGGCAGTTTTATTTCGTGCAGAACACATCACCATCATCAACTATAATAGGCCACTGCTGGACATAAGCCTTCTTTTAGAAAGGAGGTGTTGGCCTACTATACTAGGGCCAGGCGGGTCGGTACAGAGTTTGTTTCAAGTTTTCCTTCTTCTTGCATTAGTCAGCTCTTACGGAAAGGGGTGGTGACACTCCGTACTTTTAATCCGTCACCACACGGATAAAACACTAAGCTCAGTTATTCATTTATTTAAAGTCGAGCTGTGGCCAGTACTTTTGTGGAAGTATATTAAAATTAAATATTTAATACTAATCACCTCTATCAGGAATTCGTCGACTACTGTAGTCGCAGCGTCTTCTACCTGCCTGCCAACGGGAAATACTGCCAGTGGACCCCTAACTTCGACGATCTTATCCGTGCATCGCAGCTGCTGGGCGAGGCAATGCAGTACTGTGTGAAGCATTACGAAATCCACTGTACCATTCTGTAAATCAAAATTTTTCGGTTATTTCTATGTATAAAATGTATGTATTTACAAAAAAATAATAATTATAAGTATTCTATTAGTCAATCTAGTTTTCATAGTTCAAGGTCTGTTAAGTTTGAAACTAGATGGCGTTGTGTGTCAGATGTCCGAAATATTATTTTTAAAGAAAATTAATGAAATATAAATGTTATAGGAATCTTGTGAAATATAAAACAATCCAGAATAGAATTGATCTCTGAAAATTTTGTGTGGTTATAGTATAAAAATATACACTAACAATAGTGACTACTCTGAATACTATTCTTAATAGTGATTATATTTTTCTAAAACGTAAACCACGATATTTCTGAAATATGTATTAACCGACTTAAAGTCTCATTAAGGGAATAAAATAGAAAAGTGTAAAAAACAGGTCATTCGCCACCAAGAACACTCATAGATTTAGGTGAAAATGTTAAATTAATTATTTAAATCTGAACCTGTAAAAAAATAAATGTTAAATAATAGTTTTGTTTCATTTACCTCTGGCGTGCCGATGGAAAGATCTATCATTTCGGCTATATTTATTAAAGCCGTTTTGGCTAAAAGTGGAAATCTCTTGGTTATTATCGTGAATATATTATGTAATTAGTGTTAAGTTCAAATTCACAACATTTAAAAGAAATACACAACAACATTTACCCGTCATTTTACCACTGATAGAATTCTTCTAAAAAAACATATATTCATAAAAATATACTAAATAAAAATGTTTAAACTATAGAAAAATATATAAAAATTATGTAAACAGAATGACTTCGTAATGTCTTGTGGACACTTGGACGCGGTATTTTTTTAGTCGCCGGTATTTTAGGTAATCATTGATATCTTAAAAAAGTTTTAAAATGGAGAGGTTTTTTGTAATACATATATATTATTTCTGTCTTCAATCTTGAAGATTTTTACTCGAATTGGTTTGTCAACTGTATAAGGTGGACAAAAAAATAAGAAAAATTGTTTTAAAAATATAATTTATACTCTCTGACTTGTTGAATTTATGAAATTATGAAATATTATACATAATGAAATCGAACTCGCTCGTACTTATATTCCATTATTTAATTAATTTGACCGACCGGTAACGCCTTTTCATAATGTTTGGAATTAGGTTTTGAGGTTTTGTAAGTTATATATGTTAAGAATAACAGCTGTTGGTGCTATAAGACTAGAGTGTTGCTAGAGGAGTTGGTGCTATAAAAGTAATGTGTAATTTGCATCGACACCCTTGGGCCATCATATCATATCATCATATCTTCGCCTCAAGTGGCGTAATCTATATTTTTGAATCGTTTGGGGTCGAGACGCTAATGTCATAAGATCTGAGTGCACATTTTATTCATAAAGAACTAGATTTGCAAATGATCGACACATCTACGGACCAGACAGTAGGCTTTTTTCTAGCCCAAAGAACTAGGATTGCTATGAAACGTGGCAGCGCTGCCTGACTTCTTGGAACGCCACCAGTAGGCCACGATGCGGAGGTACATTTTGATGCTTGTATGTAAATATGGTATGTATGTTGTAAAGTTTCATTTCATTACATTACTTACCTATTTTTATTTTGTATACTTATGATTTGTTAATATTATGAATATGTATTTAAACTGAGATTATAAATCAATATACACAAATAGAAAATAATGAGAAATATATTATGAAAAGAAAACCAGTTAAAAAAACAGTAAAGTTCCATGTTTATTTTAAACTAGTGGTCGCCCAGTGGTCAAAATCAACCGCAATTCATTTAAGTTTTAACTTCATTAGGGTTCTTTTGTCAAAGATTATGGCTATAATGTATTTCTAACGCATTTTATATAAAAATTGCTTTATGTACTTCTTCTCCATAAAAACTTTAACTGTGTCAAATTTAACGTTCATCTGTTCGCGCAATTTTCTTAAAAAGGGGTACAAAGTTTTCTATATACTCGTAGATAACATGCAAATCTAAAACATAAAAAATGTAATTTTTAGCGTTTAAGGCATTTTGCTGTTTTACTGAAGACTTTAATGACAATTCTGCAACAAAATATTTACGAAGTCTTCCGTCGCCCCCAAATTCCACGGGGGTGTTCCGGCCAACGCATACGCCACCTTCGTAGACACGGTGCGGCAAACGCGAGTGGTTCTAACCGTCAATATCTTCTCAGGGCACGAGAGGCGCACAATACTCTGGGCGGTCAGAGTCACCGCCCGCACCGGTGCACCGTGTAGAGCCATTGACCGGACAACCCCACGTATAGCCGTCTTGTCGCGACGCTGGACAAACGCAGAGTCGACCAGTTTTAGAGCAAGCTGTGTGATCCACAAATCGTTCTGTGTCCATTTCATATATATTTGTGCTTTTCGGCGAATTGGGTCCAAGTGAAGTTCAGCCTCCCGGGCCCTCTCCTCCGCCTCCTTCTGCGAGATGACGTCTACAAAGAATGAAGCGACCGCGATAAAACATCTGTCACTACCAGCCATTTAGCGTATGACGACCGGAAGCGAGAGGTCCCCTCCGATTAATGAGGTTCCTGCAATGGAACCAAGCACCCAATGAGAAGCCGGGAAAATTGCCAGCATGTGCTGAGCCGAGTCCTCACTGCAATCTCAGTGGTGACAGGCGGAACTCAATTCCCTCCTAGCGATCGAGTAGGGTAGGGGACTTCCCGAAGTAGCCGTGCCCGGAAAAGACCTGCGTCAGTCGGAAGGAAAGGGTCCCATGCTGCCGCCCTGCCCACTCGACGATAACCGGCTTTAGCGCCTACACGGCGGCAAAACCAGCACGTGGTAGCTGGAACGACCAACGAGCCATGGAGGCTTGGCGAGCGGCCGACCAGATTTAGAGCAAGTGAGATTCACACATAAAAGAAAAAAAAGGTATTAAATTGAGTGTCCGGATGTCTTAATAACAGTTATTCCCGGATCCCTCTTATTTCAGGCACCGAGTAGTACATCGTATGGTTCTAGTTGGTTCAATTGCGACACACCGCATCGCTGCAAATCACGTTATGACACTTATATTGGCACTTAAAAAAAGAGTAGTGAATTGCAGAGGTTAGTAGGGGCGGCAAAGTCTTAAATTAAGTCTAATGATGCAAGCACGATGAAGGTGAGCTCAGTTCTGCGCACAACACCACAGCACTTCATAAAAAAACAAACATGGAAACATTGTTTTATTTCATCCCAGTTCTCTATTTTATTCGTTTCAAGCCGCCAATAAAATTCAGTGTTATAATAGTAAAGAAACCGCAATCTGAAATCAATAACCCTTTACCCAGTTCATAGTACCTTTTGTTTCTTGTGCAGTAAAGACTAAGAATCAATTCTAGCTGGTGGGTACTAAATCCACTTCGAACAGGATACCCCGACTGCTTTATTTTTAAAACAAAATATTAGTGCGAGGACTATGTGCACAAACTCGCTCAAGTTTGTGGGCTTGTACTTTTTGCTTTAGGTACTCTGAGCGAATAAACTGGGAGCTGTATTTATAGCCTAGTTTTAATACAAACTGTCTCTTGGGATATGTGATTGGATAAAACGGGTTAACTTAATAGGTTTAGGATATTGTTTCTTGCGAATGCAGAAAATTTAATAGGGAATTAAAGCAGGTTTACCACCACTACCACCATCCTCTCTTTGTTTGCTAACGCTCTTACCAGATTTTTTTACAAGACCTAAAGTTCTTTGAAAGTACTTAAAGAGAAAGACCTATTGAGTATTGAGATGGGATAAATATTTTCTAACAAATAGGATAAAATTATGTTAATAAAGAAACCGGTCAGGTACGAGTCGAACTCGTGCGCCGAGGGTTCCGTACCTACCCTAAAATTTATCTTAATTTTCAACTTTTTTATTTTTTGGAATTATTCCTTTATTTGTGCTGTAAGACGTTTCTTTTTGCCAAATTTCGTGATTCTAGGTCAACGTGAACTACCATGTAAGTTTTCGACCCAAAACCTATAGGGTACTTCCGGTTGACCTAGAATTGTCAATTTTGGTTAAAAACAAGGTCTTACAGCAAAAGTAAAGACAAAATTCTGAAAAATAAAAAAGTTGAAAATTAAGGTAAATTTTGGTACTTACAAGTTTTCGCGAAAATCGAAATTTGCCCATATCTTTTTATCGTGTTGACTCAGGACCTTGATTTTTATGCACCTAATAGGGACCATAGACCTCAGTATCTGGTATAAATTTCAAATTGCTAGGTCTACCTGTTCAGGAGAAAATCGGTGGTGACACACGGGCAGACGGATAGGCGGACAGATGGACAGACGGACAAGAAAGTGATCTTATAAGGGTTAATTTTTTACCTTTTGAGGTACGGAACCCTAAAAATGAGGCACAAAGTAACTCGTTGAAGATTTTATTTACTCAAAATTAGCCTCGATGAAGCGTAAAAGTGTTGCACAGATCGAGACAGTATTTAATTTCAGCCTACCGCCTGCCACTTTATAAGGCACAAGTTTGACCACATATGAAGTAATGTTCGCATTTCTTTGCAGGGGCCCCCAGTTTCCTTTGGTCCGCACTCTCTTTTGCACTCTACTACACTACTCTATGCGCTTTTAATTATTTTTTTTATAAAACCATGAAATATAAGATAACCATGATGCACGCCATTTTGAGTTTCCCAACACAATTTATAGCCCAAATGGTACTTGATTCCTGCACCACATCACGTAGTCATTGGCTAAAGGTTGCGAACAATGTAATCTTATCACGTATGCGATCATACTGTTACATTTTTCATGGAATTGTTATATAACTAAAATATAATGTCTTAGTCAACATTTAAGGAAAAATATCAACTTATTCTCACCTACGAACTAATATAAATTAAAACAATTAAATTATTGGCAAAGTCTATGAATAGAGCTATTCCAGAGCTCCTTTAATGGGATTTAAGAGTTGCGAGCAGTTTGCGGGTGCTCGGACTCTATTTTAAGCCTTAGGGGTGCTGACTTTCTGAGTGCTTTGCCGTGTCATGCTAGCGACATCGAATCATACTAACTCTATTTTGTCTTATTTTCATTACAAGAAGGCTTTACTTAAGGCTTACAGAAAGGAGTGAAGTTTATCACACAATACCGTAAAGGTACATACATGACTATGTTCACGGTCGAAAGTAAATAAATAAACCGTTGAGCAGCTACCGCGCTGCAGTCTCTCATTGATGGTTATCGCGCCGCAGCATGAAATATTCAGAATGATCGCGATGCGTAATTCAAAAGTTTTTCATTACGGTTTTATACGAACGTATTTTGGAACTTTGCTGAAGTTGTACGCTCGGATCTCAAATTAGGATATCGTAAAATTTAATGACCACCATTTTGCGTATTTGCCGAAGAACGGTCGACCTAAATTGTTTAATTGTCAGAATATCTGTATAGTTTCACGAAATAATTTTAGCGCAGTTAGCATTATTGACGAATATAATCTCCTAGGGTGGTATATCGGTACAATATGTTGAGTTTGTTTATCTGATCTGCTTCAGTCAATAAGAAAGTTGCTTGCTTGTTTGATTTTGTATCCACAAATATTGACCTAGGATCTTCATAGCAAAGATAAACCCAGAAAACAACGAGTAATTGAATTTAATACTGAGAAGCGATAGATCAGTTTGTATCGGTGATTACAAGTGTGCTACTAAAAAGTTTCCAATGTTTA